AGACTACCAACTTTTTTTCATTTTTCAACTACCATTTTCTCTGATCTTATAACGCCCCCTCTACCCCTTTCTATTCGACCGCATAACCGATTTTATACGCTGCAGAGGAACGCATGACAGATCCCGCAGCATTCCTTCGACCTTTCATTACCAAAGTACTCAATTACCGAATACCGAAGCGAGAAACCATGCGAGATCTACAGCATGACTATACCACTCGCAAACCTTCAAATCTGCTTGCGCCACCTCCTTCTTTTAGCCTTAGTTTGAGCGACTCACGTTTTAGAAGCCTTCTCCTTTTTTGCTCCTTTCTTCTTCATAACACGTTCCTGCTTGCGTTTCATCACCTTGCTCACCAACTCCGTGGAATTTGGAGCAGACGCGCGATCCGCTTTGCCTATCAGCCGCGCCATCGTATTTTTGACTTCGTACTTCTTCACATACTCCAGGAGTGCCGCACCCAGTGCTTCGCCCTCCAGCGCTGCTATGCCAGGCACCATGTGCTCAGCCCTCCTTCTTGTTGCTGCGTCATTGGCCAACTTTTGCAGCCCTCGTCTACGTTCCTCGTCAACAGCATCAAGAAAATCCACACGGTGCTCCTTGTGCAGCCAATCTCCCCACGAAAGAACCGTCTCGCCGCCTCTCCGCTGGCACAACCAAACAGAAACACCCCTCCCAAGTCTGAATTCGCTCAGTGTCATGTAGAGGCCAATTTCCGCAGCCTTCCACGCGGCCCATCCTTTTTCTTGGTCCTGTTCCGCCGCCTCATCGAGCCAGAACCTTTGTATAGTGCTTTGCCGAGAAGCCATACCTCCTATACGTGGAAGCCTGCTGTTGCTCAGCGACTCCTTGCTCATGCTCAGAGTCAAAGACTAGACGGCTTCGCTTCTCCACACGTTTGGCCCTCCGGATGTTCATCGTCAGGTCGTGCAACATCGACGCACCACCTCAAAAGCTTCTTTCTCAAGGAGTCAAATCCTATGCCTGTACTGTTGTCGATGACTTTATCTATGCAAAGGAATGCGCCAGAGTCTAGTTTTGTTGCACCTTATTTGAGTCGTTTCCTGTCCAAATGGAAAGAGGTGAATCATGAAAGAATGATGATTTTTCTAGAGTCAACACCATAGAGACATGAAGCATACCCAACACATATGTCATATGAGCACTGAAGTCACGTTATGTAGTGGAGCACATTCTTGCCACCTCCATCGTTCTCGATATGGCGGCCATCTCATGTATTTCGAACAAGGATTGGACAGTGGAAGACCTAGAACCTAAAAAGCTACTCTTTAATCTCCAAAACAATAGAACAACAACAATCATGCAAATTTGTTGCCCCAGACTCCTATTACTAAGCTGCACTTCGTGCTATGTTATTCGTTTTAAGGTGTATTCAGACACACAAATGCACGAAATGAAATGTCAGAAAGAGTGAACCACCAGGAAATGAATTTGAAAAAGATGTAATAAACTGAATATTTTTCGAGGTTTCAAGAAGAAACTAAATCGGTTCAAGTTGAATTTGAAATCCTTGAATTGAAATCATGTTCAAAAGAAGCCGTCCTCTGGAAGTGTCCTATTCTTCTTGAGTGAAGTAGTTATGCATAGATGTACTACGATTGGGATAGAAGATTATCCAGAAAGTAGTCGCATGCTACAGAGTGTATCTCTCTCTCAGAGTCCAAATCTGCAAAATTTCAGCTGATCATTGCAACAGGCAGCAGGTCCTCGCGCATCGACGATATAATACGCATACTGCCCATGCCCTCGACCGACGACGATCCATGCCCCACCAAAACGCAAAAGTGATTTTGGCCGCAAGTATTCAGGATGTTCCTCATGTCTCGACCCCTCAAAACTCTATCGCCATCGATTCCAAGAAAATAGCACTGCACAGCTCGACCTTGGGGGTCGCATGAGCGCTCGCTCTACTAACGCAAACGCTGGTTACTTTATTCAGGAAGCAATGGCGTCGCAGCTGCCAAGGCCTACTAGCTTCGAAACTGATTCTTTTTTCGGATCGTTGTGGTCTCTGCAAGACGAGAAGAAAAGATAGCAATTCATATCGTACAGACAACTAAAGCGGGCTCCTACAGCTACAGCATAGGACCCACGAGAGCGACAGCTGTTAGTACTCACAGGCGCAGCGGGAGAATGGGGTCAGGTTAGGATAGGATAGGAAGTGGCTCGCCGTCCACAGTGTGACCTGCATCATCGAGCGAACATGTGCAGCCACAGGAAGACTACCAACTTTTAATCATTTTTCAACTACCATTTTCTCTGATCTTATAACGCCCCCTCTACCCCTTTCTATTCGACCGCATAACCGATATTATACGCTGCAGAGGAACGCATGACAGATCCCGCAGCATTCCTTCGACCTTTCATTACCAAAGTACTCAACTACCGAATACCGAAGCGAGAAACCATGCGAGATCTACAGCATGACTATACCACTCGCAAACCTTCAAATCTGCTTGCGCCACCTCCTTCTTTTAGCCTTAGTTTGAGCGACTCACGTTTTAGAAGCCTTCTCCTTTTTTGCCCCTTTCTTCTTCATAACACGTTCCTGCTTGCGTTTCATCACCTTGCTCACCAACTCCGTGGAATTTGGAGCAGACGCGCGATCCGCTTTGCCTATCAGCCGCGCCATCGTATTTTTGACTTCGTACTTCTTCACATACTCCAGGAGTGCCGCACCCAGTGCTTCGCCCTCCAGCGCTGCTATGCCAGGCACCATGAGCTCAGCCCTCCTTCTTGTTGCTGCGTCATTGGCCAACTTTTGCAGCCCTCGTTTACGTTCCTCGTCAACAGCATCAAGAAAATCCACACGGTGCTCCTTGTGCAGCCAATCTCCCCACGAAAGAACCGTCTCGCCGCCTCTCCGCTGGCACAACCAAACAGAAACACCCCTCCCAAGTCTGAATTCGCTCAGTGTCATGTAGAGGCCAATTTCCGCAGCCTTCCACGCGGCCCATCCTTTTTCTTGGTCCTGTTCCGCCGCCTCATCGAGCCAGAACCTATGTATAGTGCTTTGCCGAGAAGCCATACCTCCTATACGTGGAAGCCTGCTGTTGCTCAGCGACTCCTTGCTCATGCTCAGAGTCAAAGACTAGACGGCTTCGCTTCTCCACACGTTTGGCCCTCCGGATGTTCATCGTCAGGTCGTGCAACATCGACGCACCACCTCAAAAGCTTCTTTCTCAAGGAGTCAAATCCTATGCCTGTACTGTTGTCGATGACTTTATCTATGCAAAGGAATGCGCCAGAGTCTAGTTTTGTTGCACCTTATTTGAGTCGTTTCCTGTCCAAATGGAAAGAGGTGAATCATGAAAGAATGATGATTTTTCTAGAGTCAACACCATAGAGACATGAAGCATACCCAACACATATGTCATATGAGCACTGAAGTCACGTTATGTAGTGGAGCACATTCTTGCCACCTCCATCGTTCTCGATATGGCGGCCATCTCATGTATTTCGAACAAGGATTGGACAGTGGAAGACCTAGAACCTAAAAAGCTACTCTTTAATCTCCAAAACAATAGAACAACAACAATCATGCAAATTTGTTGCCCCAAACTCCTATTACTAAGCTGCACTTCGTGCTATGCTAGTCGTTTCAAGGTGTATCCAGAGACAAAAAGGCACGAAGTGAAATGTCAGAAAGAGTGAACCACCAGGAAATGAATTCGAAAAAGATGCAATAAACTGAATATTTTTCGAGGATTCAAGAAGAAACTAAATTGTTTCAGATTGAATTTGAAATCCTTGAATTGAAATCATTTCCAATCCTTGAATTTGAAATCCTTGAATTGGCGCTGTCTTCTGGAAGTGTCCTATTCTTCTTGAGTGAAGTAGTGATACATAGATGCACTAGGAAGATAGAGGGCTCTTCTCCTTCCAGAAAGTAGTCGCATACTACAGAGCGCATCTCTCCCAAAGTCCAAATCAGCAAAATTTCAGCTGATCATTGGAACAGGCAGCAGGTCCTCGCGCATCGACGATATAATACGCATACCGCCCATGCCCTCGACCGACGATGATCCATGCCCCACCAGAACGTAAGAAAGCGTGATTTTGGCCGCAAGTATTCAGGATGTTCCTCATGTCTCGCCCCCTCAAAACTCTACCGCCATCGATTCCAAGAAAATAGCACTGCACAGCTCGACCTTGGGGGTCGCGTGAGCGCTCCGTCTACTAACGCAAACGCTGGCTACTTTATTCAGGAAGCAATGGCGTCGCAGCTGCCAAGGCCTACTAGCTTCGAAACTGATTCTTTTTTCGGATCGTTGTGGTCTCTGCGCGAGCCAATAGCAGATGAGAAGAAAAGATAGCAATTCATATCGTACAGACACCCAACCCGGGCTCCTACAGCTACAGCATAGGACCCACGAGAGGGACAGCTGTTAGTACTCACAGGCGCAGCGGGAGAATGGGGTCAGTGTGTGCAACATCGACGCACCACCTCAAAAGCTTCTTTCTCAAGGAGTCAAATCCTAGGCATGTACTGTTGTCGATGACGAGATTGCCTATCTATGCAAAGGAATGTGCCAGAGTCTAGCTCATTTGCGCCTTATTTGAGTCGTTTCCTGTCCAAATGGAAATGGGTGAATCATGAAAGAATGACGATTTTTCTAGCGTCATCATAGAGACACGAAGTGTACCCAACACATATGAGCACTGAAGTCAAGTTATGTAGTGGAGCACAATCTTGCCACCTCCATCGTTCTCGATATGGCGACCATCTCAAGTATTTCATTTCGTCGAGACTTGTGTTACGTTTTTCTTTCTCCTCTTATCCTTTTCTTCAGCGTCTTTTTCAATCAGCACCACCGCCTTCAAACGTCATCACCTTTCAAACAAACCGATAATACCACACAGAAGACCAAGAGCGTTCCACTTGTAAGAAAAGACGTGCGCCCTGCTTATGAAATGCGAGATCATCAGCATCCTTATACCACAAAGCCCGCTGCTCCACTACTTCGCCAAGGTGTGCAAATATAAAGACGATAAGGCTCCCACTAGTTATGATCATGTGCATGCAGGTTCTCGGTCCACTTGGGACAAAAGTAGAAGCGTGAGGTCTGCGGGGTGTTGTTTCGTCTTGGTTACTCTAACGCCAGAGAGCTGTAATACCAACGGGTTCTGGCGATGTATTTCGAACAAGGACTGGCTAGTGGAAGACCTAGAACCTAAAAAGCTACTCTTTAATCTCCAAAACAATAGAACAACAACAATCATGCAAATTTGTTGCCCCAAACTCCTATTACTAAGCTGCACTTCGTGCTATGCTAGTCGTTTCAAGGTGTATCCAGAGACAAAAAGGCACGAAGTGAAATGTCAGAAAGAGTGAACCACCAGGAAATGAATTCGAAAAAGATGTAATAAACTGAATATTTTTCGAGGATTCAAGAAGAAACTAAATTGTTTCAGATTGAATTTGAAATCCGTGAATTGAAATCATTTCCAATCCTTGAATTTGAAATCCTTGAATTGACGCTGTCTTCTGGAAGTGTCCTATTCTTCTTGAGTGAAGTAGTGATACATAGATGCACTAGGATAGAGGGCTCTTATCTTCCAGAAAGTAGTCGCATACTACAGAGCGCATCTCTCCCAAAGTCCAAATCAGCAAAATTTCAGCTGATCATTGGAACAGGCAGCAGGTCCTCCCGCATCGACGATATAATACGCCTACCGCCCATGCCCTCGACCGACGATGATCCATGCCCCACCAGAACGTAAGAGCGCGTGACTTTGGCCGCAAGTATTCAGGATGTTCCTCATGTCTCGACCCCTCAAAACTCTATCGTTACCGATTCCAAAAAAACTAGCATTGCGCAGTTCGACTTGGGAGTCGCGTGAGCGCTCCCGTCCCCGCTTGCTCTACTAACGCCGGCCCTTACAGGAATGGCATGCCAGCTACCAAGGCCAACTAGCTTCGAAACTGACTCTTTTCACGGAAGAGAGCAACCCACATCGTAAATGCAACTAAAGTGGGCGCCTACAGCTACACCACAGGCACAGGAACCACGAGAGGAACATTTGACTATATTCTGATCTTCGTATAGCTATAGGAAATGACTTATGATTAAGAGTGCTGCGGTGCCACCCCTAGAAGGTACCGGATGCATTACGACTCAAGGCCTTGAAGATCGCTTTTATTCGCAGGAAAATCCCATTGAAGATTGTCTCCCGATTGCAGCACGATGGAAGCCTTGTCGTTGGCTTGCAGGTTTTTTTTTGTAGTTCGGGCTACTGAAAGAGGGGCCATGGCTCCAGCACTGCTGGTCACAGAATTCTATTGCGTTGCTCTAACATGGATGAGGATGTTGGGGGCAGTTGTAGTTTGGGACGAGGTCTTTTCCATTTCTTTTTCATAATCACCATGATCTTGATCATTACATTCCGAAAAAATCAAATGCACTTCCGTGGGTCTTGACCTTGCGGCAATCCACCACCTCTTCCCCGATACGGTCGCGGAGGTACTTATGTACTCCTACTCCTACTCATTCATTTGAAATCAAAAAATGTTAGCAAAATAACTTTAGTTGGAAAGTGCTTTCTTGAAGCTGTGCGGCGCAGTGTTTCCCCTACAAAAATGGGCCATCAAGAAGACATCATAAGGCACAGCTACCACTTCTCCAGTGTTGAAGATGAAAGATCTATATATTAAGTAGTTATTTTGCATTGAGTTCTCATGCCTTTATTACCCCCGCATCAGAAGTAATCAAGATAGTTCGAGTCTGGGCCAGGGCGCTGGCGCGCCTGGAGGTGTGGTCATTTAATTACCTATAAATATATAATCAAATTTTCAATTCCAATTACCAATTCATCATCATAATTGATCTGCAGCATTGACGCTTACCTTGGCTTACCAGTGAAGTCTTGCTGTTGTTGTTGTGCCTGGTATCGGAAACCAGACGAACGAATAACGTGCAACGGCAAACAGTACGAACTAGTACTTTGACAAGCACATAATTAGGAGGTTGAGGTCGTGCTACCCGTCGCCGTCGCGTAGCTAGCCTGGTAGGATTCAAAACAATCAACAGGAACGAGCAACGATGATTCTTCCCCGACCTCTACCTCTGGATGAAGATTGAAAGGAAACCTAGCGCTAGGCAAGTGAGTATCATTATCTTCTTTGAGAACGGTCAAAGGGGACCTCGAACTTCTTGCACGCCATAGGTATGTCCTGGAGGGGTCGGAGCTTCGGCTCCTTCATGTTATGTCTCTTATAATATATAATATTAGTGGTAGAGCCAACCTTCTAACTAGGAGACAGAGATTATCAAAAAATTAATCTTATTTTAACATACAAGGATGTTATTCTAATGGCCATGTGTTTTATGTCTCTGACTTAAATAATTATCAATTGGGTACTTACAACTCATGGTTGCTGTTGTAACAGCCAACGGGTGAGCTAGGACTACGACTCCAAGTACAGAGCAGAAGGAGGGAAATTCATGATTTCGACTCTGCTTCTTCAATCTCGATTCTACCCCAACCACGAGCAAGTTCGTTGATTGCAATCAGCAATTGCCTATCCGACTTATCTCTTTTATAAACTAGCTGCTCTATGGTGGATTCTCATTTGATGAGTCCTTGATTGCATGCTAGTTCGGCGTTCAAGATACTCCCACCGGCTGCGCCAATGACGGTGTTGTGAGCGAGAACCGTGATTAGAGCTTCGCAAACCGATTCATTCCTCCAGGAGTCCACTGCTTAAGACCTCTAAGAAGAACGAAACTAACGGAGGAAAATGGCATCCCTTGAAAATGAGCTTTGAAGCGGAGAACTCCGTGCTTGAATCTGCACTACAGAGTGTACACCTATCAAAAGAGCTTGAAAATGAATTACTTGGAGCCTTAACGTGAACTTGACATCGAGAACAGGGCACTCCCTGACGCGGCCAACGCAAACACCCATTCCGGTTTCGTAGTCCCGGTCCAGCCGGTGCTGGGGTCGGTCCGGTCTGTCATCCTCGAAGAATCGGATCGGCTTCTCAGGACAGGACGGGCACGCAGCGACATCCGCTTTCGGACGGAAGTTACGGAACGCCTGTTGGTCACTCTCACTGCTTGTTGTTGATAAGAAACATCAGAATAAGTGATTGTGAATAAGAAAGTTTATTTTTGGGAAGTAGAGAATTATAGTTCCTGTAATGCTTTTTATCTTCTTGTTCTCATCTAGCTCTACTGTAATATTTAGCAATTAGTAAATGACATTGACAACGTGAAAGAGAAAGTTGTATTCATTGGCTCAACATCATTTCCTCATAAAAACAAGCTTCTCCTCCATTTGGATCTTCTCCTACATAATCAAAAATCAACAAGTAGAACTAGAAATACCTCCTTAATATCCTCCATAGATCCTGGTTTGTTCTTCAGTTTAAGGGAGATACAAACCATATGCCCATTCGAAACAGGAACTCGATTGCACGTCGCTGAAACGTTCATTTCTACATGCTGGATTCCCTGACCGTCGAAAGCACCTAGTTGTATGTGATGGAGGTTCGGAGGAGAAAGCTCTTGTACTTTTAAAGTACAATAATTTTTAGTTAGACCACCTAGAACTAGTAGAACAACAATATGATCGATTTATTAAAGGTATTAAGCTTCTTCACCTAGTAGAAGATTAGGATATAAACTTTCTATTATTGTCCGAAGAAAGCAATGAGTTTGAAGATGACGAGAAGATGACGATGATGATTGATTTGATGCTTCAATCTACAACTTTTTTTTTAACCTGCTTTAGGAGCACAACCAGCACTCTAACTTCAATACCGAGAATCTTTTGCGTTTCTGTTTCGAGCTTGTCCTCCTCGTCACCAATATAGGGAATGCAGTTGTCGTACATCTCAGCTACACTGAGACCGGGAAAACCACTGCCACTAGTGGCTTGGAGAGTAGTGCAGTTAATAGCTTAGAGGTAGGCTTTTGGTGTTCGTTTACACCGTTGGTTCTGTCCTTCTCTCTTGGGAGAGATCAACACGAACGGCAACAGGAACGCCTTTAATAGAGTAACTTATAGAACGGGCGTAGGATGCTCTTGGATGGATCGGATGGACCTACCTAAGTCTTCCGCTCCTACTTGAAATGCTTAGCGGACCCGGGACGTCCATCCGTTCCATCCCATCCTGAGCCGGGCACTGAATGGTTCCGGTATTTAGTAGCCTGAATTTGATCACAAGGGTTCTCTTCTTGTTTTCCCTTATGATCAAATTCAGGTTACCAAATAGCAGGAGCATACAGGCACCCGTATTCAAATCTATAAATTGTTCTACTTATAATTAATTGTATTGTAAGCTACCCTTAAATAACGTCGACTCCAAACGCGTCCACAAGGGGTTTGATAGCACAAGTCATCGTGATGGTACTACAATTCGGGTTCGTCGCAATGAAACCGCCTGACTCGGCGAAGGACCTGCTAGAGTATCAGTAATGGAGGAGGGACAACACAATATTTATAACCATGAGTATACATCCTGGAATTCCAACACCAACAGCAACTTCCTATTTTTCCTTAAAAATCGCATCAGCATAAGAAGCATCACCATAATCAGCAACAGTACGGTTGCGTCTTTGCCAGTCCCATGTGCTCTGAGTTGACGTAGGGCTGCAACAGTGGCACATTCGGCGTCATGCGAAACTGCACGGCGTTTGTTAGACCTCCCCCTAATTCATCCTAGTGGAGTAGACCTCTAAACAGTATGCCTCAAGAATGTTCTTCCCCTTGTATTAGGGCGCATACACTCAGACAAGTAGGGATCCCCATGTTTTCCCCTTGTCTTACTATTAGGGACGATCCGATCTTCCTTATTGGGGCGCGTACTGGTCTCGAGGGATCCCTATACTAGAGATGGATTAGGGGAAGCCTTACGTTTGAAAACACTGGAATTCCGGCATTCGCGAAGCCAGGTTCTGCTACTCGAGCTACATCATCTGGAACCGCCGAAAAAACCAAACCAACTCCAGCTGCCTTCCATCTGATCATGTAGGTATTCCCCGAAGAGTAGACGGCAAGAGCAAGACATATCCTCGATAAATCCTGCTCCTGTTGTTCCTTTGTTGAGAGAACAACTTCTAATTCTACCATCAGATGGCATCTTCATATCACTGATGAACTTAATACTCAAGTTAGTACTACTCGAACTAGAAATTGAAGTAGTACTCTGCCGGATCCGGGTTGATGATTTTCTTTTCTGCTATTCTTGTTGGGATCCCCATCGGATCGAGACAAGCATTATAAACTTTATCCGCGATGTCACGGTACAAATGGCCGACTTCATTCGGCCCACCTCCAAGGGCCGCGACCTCAAACCAAGGATGATTCTCGATTAGAGGTAAGTAGGCTTTTGTCTTGGTGTGCTAGTTCTTAGCTTACCCACCTGCCGCCGGTAGTTTTACTTTTCGTTATGGTTATCATCACTAAATCATTATAATATATGCTTATTTTCTCATTCTCAACACACTGCTCCGTAGTTACCATAATGCGCTTTTCTCTATGGGGAAAAGCAGAACCAGAACTGACGGAAAAAGAAACACCTAGTAAAACCTGCTGCCTTAATTCGAGTCTAGAGATGAAACGGGAACCAACCGCACCAGATGCGCCCAACACGCCAACTTTATACTTCTTCGCACCGTCGGCGAGACGCGAAGCACTACGATACATCATCTTCTTGCTTTTAATTTGTAAAGGATGGGGGTTTTCACGTAAGTAAGAGCAAGGGCAGTATTGTGAGATAATGGGAGGGACGAGACGGGGCTGGGGGGTCAAAAACTTTTACTTTACTTGTTCGTTCATTCATGCGCTCCTCCCCCTTATTTGTAGGCTAAGACCGCCCGAAGGGTGATCCCAGTTGCATCCACTTCGCAAACTGGCAGCAGGCGGAGTACATTAACCTTCTTATATTACGGATGCATTCCACCCTGGACTTGTTCTTCTGAACGAATCTATGAAGCAGATTACTTCGACGTCCTTCACAAAATCTAACGGGTGGGTCCAAAAATGTAACGGGACTTCGAGTTGAACTAGAACTTCTTCGCATACCTAACAGAGTAGTACTGGGATTCAGGAGGATGAAGCTCGTTGTATGAGAAGTTGCATTGTTGTCTTGAAGGATGTATTATACCGCTAATTCAGAGTGCTAGGATTGAGCTCCAGGAGGAAGATTGTGCGAGACCTTGCATTATTGTAGGTTAGGGTAGGTGTTGGCCTACCAGGATCACTGTAGAATTTCCTTTCTCTCATGCTCATGGTCCACTCATCTCCCTCTCCCTGTGCCTTTGAATAAAAGAAAGCAGTGCGTCCTCGGTCGCTTTTTCTACTTGTCCGCTTCAACCATGTAGTCTATAATTTCCAACTCCTTAGTAACGGAGGTGAATGATTCAGTGCCAGTCGTCAATCGGACTGGAGATCATCTAGTATGACCATGACTTTACGCATTCAGAGTTCGATGAAAACTATCGTCGACAGCCGTGATCTCATCTTTGAGTGGTCTTGAAGGGAGCAATGCTCGTCTTCGTGCAAGACTATATGAGATTACTATGGTATATGAACAACAAAAACAAATGACACTAAAATTATCACACTGAACTGCCAAAATTAAGAATAAGATAGATGTTGAAGATGTTTTCTAGAAATTTACCGAAGTTTTTTTTGTCTAAAAACTGATGTAATCGAGCCAAGTAATTGTGGTCTAGTTAATATGTTTCTCATGCATCAGCACCTTCGAAATCGACAATTCAAGGCAAGATTATAAGTACATATTCCACGACTATGTCGACGTCCCGGTCTATGTTCTCAAACAGGAGAATTCTACATAAGTAGAGCCGTATGACTATGCGTTTTCACAAAAGGTGACTTGCACCCTGAATATTCGCAGACTCTCGCGATTTGAATAATTCTTGCTGTAATTATAAAACGCATACAGGTGATTCTGATGGTGTAGGTCTAAATGTAATGTTCTCAGGTCGGGTTCTGAAGTCGCCGAAAGATCCTCGGGCGACCTGTAGTCATCCGGGTCTCGTCCCTTTGACTACGCGTATCCGCTAAAACAGAAGGACTTCTAGTGGACGACGACCTCACGACCACGCTTCTTCTTAGAAAGTAGTCCGTAGAAGTCCCCGATTTTTGAACTTGAAGAGGAGGCACAGGTCGAAGGTTGTGCTGATCAGACGCCTAGTACTCACTCTCACGCTTACATCTCGTAGTACAAGTAAGAAGAGAGCGAGGACGAGGTTGAAGGAGAATAAATAGAGAGTAAATAGATAGATTAAAACAGGATGCTACAGCCTTTGGCGTCCCACCCCGGGTCCATGGTGGTGGACACTAGGGAGGATAGTGATAGGTGCTCGCGCTGACTCTAGTCGACCGAATTCTGACTCGACCAAGGGTACCGGTTCACCAAGCCAGAAACTAGAGCCAGCCGCATCCAACCCCTGACACTAATTACTTACGCCTACGTTGTTCACCAGCTACACACAGAGTAGAAACTATGGTGTCCGAAAAGACCACTGAAATTCGTCCCACAAGCTTCAGAAGCCGGAAGATGTTATTATATTCTCAAAATATGTATCTTGAAATTCATGCAATATAGTACGTACTTTTTTCGTTGGACTTAAGGTGATGAAGGTCACGTAGAACTACAAGTAAGTCAGTGATCACATAGATGAGAAGGATCCATAATTATCAAGATCATGCTTATGATTCTGTCTTCTCAATTTGACAATCTGTTTCCTATCCAAATCTGTCGTGACATCAAACGTCGCCAGCGGCAGTAGTCTACTCGACTGTAGTCAGTAGTTTTTATTTCCTATTTTTCTTATGTTAGTAGACGTCTAATATGTCAACATATTCTTTTGTTATATACTCATATCATCTTCTTATGATGTTATACTCGACTGCCTATGTGGTCTTATGTTAGACGTCTGCAGCGGCAGTAGGTGTTTCCTCGACTATGTCTTCGAGCGGTGCAATACTGGGAGAGCAATTAAGAGCCGTTTTCCGTCCACTAGATCCCGTGCTTAGCCTTCGAGTGGGAGAGCAATTAAGAGCTGTTTTCCGTCCACTAGATCCTGTGCTCTGTTGTAAAAGTGTGGAAGGAGATGAGGACGCGACCTCGGCGAGAACTACATCAGCAGCAACGGGAGTGCTGTTGCTATCAACATTAAGGCCTGCAGACGACGTTGTTGTAGCTCCACGTCCACTTCCTTGTCCAGGAGCTCCAGTTTGTTTGACATCATCAACCACGTGACTCCTGTCGGGACTACTGGTGCTAATAGGACTAGCGCCAGAGGGACCAGCAGAACAACCAGCTTTAACATCATGCGTACTAGTATTGGTATTCATTTTATGTGAAGAACCGCCAGAAGTTCCGCGAGTGAGTACGCTTTTAGGTTCAGGAGTCGCGCCTCTCATTGTTCTGCTCGGGACGAAAGGTGCGTCCACGTCGTAGGATGTATCGCCTTCACCGCTGAGTTGATTAGACCTTACAGGAGATATCCATCTTGGAGTTGGAAGTCATCGATCTCTTATACGTGTTTTGGTTTTCCGCTTAGAAATAAAAGGGAACAAAGATAATTGATGCTTCATTCTTAAGATCATGAAATATTACGGTTGTAAGCCTTAAGTTGAGTACTTGGGAGGTGCACCCCACGTGCGGAGGGTCGAGAACTTCTTCTAGCCGCGACTTGCTGGTGCAGCAATTGTGCCGCATTGCCGCTTATCCGCGAAGATTTGCGACTCAATTGACTCGATCTTTGACGGGAAGTGCGACCACCTGCTTTCTTAGAACTGACACTGAGAGCTCCCGGTCCTGAAGTAGTTGATGAGGACAGTTTCGATGTTGGATTAGTGTCGCCTCGTAGAGGTCCTTGTCCCCCTTCACTCTGCAGATTAGAGGTAACGATAACCCATCTTTTAGAACATCGTTCACTTCTTTGTAAGTAGGAACTGGCTGAAAGATGCTGCGGGAGATGGGTTGACGGTACCCTTAAGCAGATCATGAAGATGCCCCTGATGTTCTCCTTCTTCTAGTAAAAGATCGTCGCCAAAAAGCTGACGCTCATACTGTTCCTCTAAATCCTCAATGTCATGAATCATCATGCGTAGTGATCGGATCTTCCTGTACGACATCTTGTGTATGTTTAACCCACCGGATGAGTCAGAATTATCAGCGGAGCCTCGGCTGTTAGAAGATGGGACAGGGACAGTATTATGTAATGACTGATTGATTCATGTACCTATTCACGACCACGAGGTATAAATGGGCTATGTTCATAGTCGAGTCGTGACGTTGTTGCTTTTGTGGTAAGTTGTTGATTTTGTTGGATTTGTGATGCTATTCGTATTCCTAAATTTACAAGAATGAGTCATCTACTTAAAGTACCTGCTAGGAAGGTGTTCGTACTGTGCTATGTATCGTCTCCGTCGTCTACTCTAGCGGCAAAGAAAGAACGTGCAGCGGACAAGGATGTTCTATCAACAATAACAAACCACGAAGTAAAATCTTGACAATAGAAACTTATCCAGTTATATTATCGGTGGAGCACTCCTAACTAGCAAACAAAAATTAAAAAGGTCAGGTATACCAATTATATTCAATATCATGTTGTCCAGTAGCACTACTGCCATAGTCGATGAATCATCGTCACTTCCGTGCATGATTTGCGGTGCCAGCAATGGCTCCTCAGGTCTCGGATGACACGCAACGTAGGCCACGAAAGTAATCAGGAGAAGGCAACATTAGACCTAACATAAATCCATCTGCAGGAGCATCTTGGTGTCGTTTTTCAATAAAAAGAGGGTCCATAGGAGTCGTGCCCAAGCTCATCCTTCCTTGAAAAGAAAGTAGTCGGCATGATCGATGTTCATCGGGAACCAACAAGATAGATTTATACTGTAGCCTTAACAACAGATTCCACCTGCTAGATAAAGTTTCCGCGTCAGCTCATCTTGTGCTTCCTGTGCCAGTTGGCGCATCTCCTGCTGCCTCATCTCCTGCTGTGCCGCATTCTCGTCTAATTTTTCCTGCAAAAGTTTTTCGACTTCTCTGCGCGTAGTTTCTATTAGAGCTCATAATCTAAAAATTCATATTCTAGTACCTACTTCATAGAAGTCTCTGCCTCAGAATTCAAATTCAATAAGGAAGCTGTTGAGATAAAAATGAAGAACAAGAAGTTATTTCTGCATCTGCGTGGGGATGAATTAAATAAAAATATCACGGGCCTTAATTCCACTTGCGTTTCCATCATCAGCGTGCTCTCCTCCTGAATCTTCATCACGATTTTCTCCTGCTCCTTGGCTAAAAGAAGCTCCTTCTTTCGCGCGGTTTCCCGTTCCAGGAATTAGAGTTACCGCGTTCGCGGTCCTCCTGGGTGCGTCCTTGGTCCGCGCTTATCAAACAGAAAAAGGGCCAAGGATGACGCTGAGGATGCGACCTGAGCAGAAGTAGCCTTAAAGGAACCGGCCGAGGGAGATCACGTCGGTCGTGCTGCTCGTCAACTCTTCGAAATTCGTCAAGGTCGCCTGCCGCTGCAGCAAGTAAGCACCAGATAAAACAGGGTGATTCAGAATGTGCGTAAACACCAAATCATCCACGTCGTGCTGGCGGCGCCGACGGCGTTCCTCGAGCATGCGTTGTTCGCTCTGGACCTTCATCTTTGCAAGCTGTTTCCGACCTCGTCTCGTGTTCGTGGTCGGCGTTCCAGGTTGTAATCCTGCAGGCTGCAAACTGCCTGACGCATCTCTCTTGTTACCTGATGTCAACCCTCCATCTCCTGCCAGGAAGTCGGCTCCTCCGTGGACAGGGGACGATAACACTGGAAAATCATCGCGGGTAAAATGTGGACTATTAGACCTCTCCCTAGTTCATCTTCCCTGTGGAGAAGGAGATCCCTCACGCGTATGCCTCAGTATGCCCCTTATATTGGGGCGCATAGGTCGGTTGCGCGATGCCTATGGAGATGGATTAGGGAAGCCTTAAGACTGGAGCTTCGTTGCTGTGCTCTGAAGTCACCGGGTGGTCGAGGGGGCATCTTTCTCCTCATCGGACTGGCGCTTGGTGATGCGGAGGTCGCGGTAACCATCTCGCTTTTTTAGAGATCAAAGATGATGGAGTCCTGTTCGTTGTCACCAAGAACAGTATGGACGACATTCCTTAGCATCATCATGGATCTACTTCGTGATAGCATTCGTCTCATCTACTTCTGTCAAAGCTCAAGTACGAGTCTAATACTAAGCAATAAAGGTACTTATTATTGACGAAGATGAGCAGTGGGGAGTAGTAAACCAACCGTTGGTTTCCTACTCCCCACTGCTCATCTTCGTCAATAATAAGTAAAAAATCAAACTCTTCATAAGCATCTTGGCCTCGGGTTTGGTTCCCGGCAGGGAAGAAACGCTCACCCTGGTCGACGTTTGTGCCACGACGCGCAAAAACGATACTGGGATCGCCGACGCTAATACTACCACGACGTCCGACTCTGCCACGAGTTTGTTAGAGGTAGGGCCCTGGTGTCAGTTTACCCCGTCAGTTATGCCGTTCTCCCTCAAGAAAAGCAAATCCATTATAAGTAAAAATGTAACGGGGTATAATATGGTAGAGACTTCAAAGAAGAAAAACCTAGCCTTAAGTTTGGTCTCTTGACTGGCTTCGCGTCTGTTCAGCCTTTTCTGCTACTAAACTCCCGCGCTGTGGACCAGAGGATGGGGAGCGAAACTTATTCTTGCCTGATGAAGGGTCAACATTAGTCGTCGTGGTAGCATTCTGATTCTTGTATTTTTTAGAGATTTTTTCGACCACACACATTGCACAACAACTCTTCACTAGTGCTGGATACAGACCCAGGAATGTGGTTGGTGAAGGATGTAATTGTAATGTGGGAACAAACACTTAAAATTCTTCAACTCCTCATTGTACTCGTTTTGAACTATATCGTCTTCGTCTTGGTAAGTGTACGGGTCCACAAAGTCGTCCGGCAGCCCGACTCTGAAAGCACTTCTATGCGGCCATTTGATCGCACCCATGTAATCAGCGAGCTTGGATGGTATGAAAGGAAAAAGTGTGCTCAAACTCAAGAAGTAAAATGGGCCGCGAGGATTCAAGTGGGAAGCCAGCTACTTTTCTGAGTATGAGTATACTTTTTCCTGTCATAGATGGCGCACGATTACTACCCCCGTCGTTGTTCTCATCATCTCCGTCATGTAGTGCTTGCGCTTCCTTTGGGTCCGCGCCTTGATGGCCCTTACCTTCATGATCGTTTTCATTTTTGTTGGCGGTGCCACCGAATCCCGCTTCCAATTCTACCATGCTGCTTCCAAAGGATACTGGTGCGGCGCTTTCTTTGGTGGAGTTGTTGCTTTGCTGAGCAGAAGTTGGAGGTATTTGAGCAGTCGGGAAGTGGGAATGCACATATTCAGTGTAAGCCTCAGAGGGCGCTGTGGTGCTTCTGGAGGCTACAGCGTGAGTTGCACTACCATCGAGGAGGAGATCCGCGACCGCCTCGTACTCGTCTAGAGCCTCTCCCACTTCATTACGAAAGAGGTGAATTAAGTCACGCACAGGAGGAATCAGAGCGTAGGCTTCCTGCGCAAATGGCGCCTCGTCAGGAAAGGTGAATACACGCCAAGCAAACGGAGGCGCAGTGGCCGATTGCAGCCCAATGAATTCTTCCCCGACAATATGAAACCAAAATGGCATTATCATTACCACTCTTTTCTACTTGAGGTTGAGTTTGAGAAGGTTGAGAATGATAAGAGACTTTGGTTCCATAAACAAGCACGCGACTGTACTTTGCTTTCTTTTGCGCCTCGAGCGGTGCGGTGCTAGTCGTAGTCGTAGTCGACGTTTGGGTTCCTGTATTGCTCCACTGCAAGCTTCGCGTAGAGGAGGTCAAAGAATGCGCGTGAGCTCCAGTCTTACTTTTTCCTTGTAGCAACATCGGAGAGGCATGAAGATCCTCTTCATGCTCTTCAGTGGTTCTACAGTTTTTTTTCTCCCCCTGTTGAAAATCATCATCTATACGAACTGGAACAAACGGCGGCGCACCTCCTGGTCCCGTTGTACTAGTTCCATGTGAGAGAAGCTGAGTTTGCTCAACATCAGAGGTAGTTTCCGACAGCAGTATTTCTCCGTTCGGTCCTCTCGGAGCCTGTTCAAGAGCGACAAAATGGAAATTGAGCTTCCTCTTCAGAACTCGCACAAGGGGCACGGGCGGCACCGGGGGCACCAGCATAGTATGTTGGTAGTTTCTATGGTCGAAGAAGTGCGGAGGAGGAAGAAAGGCATGCTGATTGGTCCAAAATCCTTGGTTTTCCAGAATGTGTTGAGAGAGATCACCTCCACCTGCACCAAAATCCTCAAAGAAAGCGCTTCCAATTCCACCTCCATTATGCTCGTGTACAGGACCACCTTGCCAGCCAGAACCAGCAACATGATCCCACGGCATCATCGGCTGCTGCTGAGTTCCTACAGGTAGATGGCCGCCTGCTGGCTGATGAAGACACTCCGACGTACTAACCCTAGAAAAATCCACATTCTCGTCAACTAAGCTTCCGCCCGGCCACGTCAGCATGCTGCTCCGCCTTTGCGCTGCACGCCACGAGGCAGTTTGCTGATCCTGATGCTCTTGCAGAAGTCGATGATGGTCGGTACTTGCAGATGCAGATGTAGTCTCTACTGCTGACGGCGCTGGTGCAGCTGGCGTAGAAGCTGATGACGAAGGCCGCGCTCCGCCTACAACTGGCGTCACAGATGAACTTTTCGGTATATGAGGGTCGTGAGATGCATCGGTTTTGGATTCTGACTCTATTGCATTCAATATTTCCTCTCCTTTCTCTTGAAATGCGGCACGAGTCGGAGATGAGCCTCCAAATACAGCAGTCGGCGTAGTCGACGATCCCCTTGCTCCATCATGTAGAGGACGGGGAGCCGCAGCTAGTCCGGATTCAATAGGATCTAGTGAGTCATCTTCCACAACATCAACGTTTGTTCTAAGAGCATCCTGCTTAGCTCCTCCTCGTCCGGCTTCGATGTCATTGTCGGATTCCAGCTCAGAGTAATCGTCAAAGTTCAACCCGACACCGGCACCTGGGAACACTGCGGAGTCACGATGATGTGAAAAATTCTGATAGCCTCCACCAGTCCACGGAGCATAGGTCGAAGTTGTGCTTGCCGTCGTTTGTTCCCCCGTCGTCCACGGAGCATATGTCGACGTTGTGCTTGACGTTCGTGTGGTTTCTCTCATTCTGTTCGTGGTCCTTGTCATATCCAAAAATCCCACTCCTCGAGTGCTAGGCACAGGCGGAGGCGTGGTTCTTGAGCTTACAGAAGAAGGGCTAGTAGTCGTCGTAGCAGATCCTGTTGACGCAGACGCTTGTTTTGGAGACGGTGGAACAGTACAGCTGCCCCTTCGATTCTTCGAGCCTCCTCCATTGCTGTTGTACGTGCTTCCTCTTCTGTTTCCCTTATTCCATGCATTCAGCGAGTTACCTCCACCATTAGAGGCCGAGCCAATTCATCCCTTGCATACGTTTCTCTCAATCCGAAGAAGGAATCAGTGAGAAATTATACTCGTAGAAATGAATAGATGCTTCAACCCTTAACACCATACCACGATGCCCGAGCTGCGCGATTCCATCCCCGCCCACCTCGTCCATACTCACCACGAGAGTGTGAGTGGTGTCCTTGCCCATGGACGAGAGTAGAGCCAGCATACTGATTATCGGCGAAATGCATGTATGACGGATCGTAAAGCTGTGGCCCGCCATGAAAGAAATCTGATGGCATCGGAAAAGGAAATGGATGCATCGTTCCTGTTGGATCGTCAGGGTGGACAAAAAACCCGGGATAACCTCCCTGCAGATGACTGTTCCAAGCAGCATGTCCTGCAGCCGCTGCCCACGCTTGGTGCGCTGCGACTTCACTCGCATTCATGAAGGAGGACCTCGAATCGTGGAGGCCTCCACCGCCATGAGCAGCCTGTCCATCAGAGGAACCACCTTCCATCATGCCGAAAAACTGCGGAGGTGGAGCCATGGTGCCCAATTGGTGGTCAGCTACAGCCGGGAAGTCAACGAATTCGTTAGGAGCCTTCTCGACAAAGATCCCCACCTTGTTTCCCAGTAATGCAGCCGGCAGGTCGACACTCTTTAGTTCTATTAGAGCGGCTACAGAGCGGCTAGATATCATCTGAAGAGTTCCGCCTAGTTCGTTGTGATAGTACTAGATCGGACGATGTAATTGTAGCCTTCACAAGATAGATGTTGACTGCTGCTCATGGACAAAATAAAATGGAAATCCGCAAGTCGTAGTCCTCGTGTTCCTTGTATCTTGTGTAAGTACTTAGCCTTAATTCCAGGGGGTGTGGCAGTGGAGACGAGTTCTTGCCAGTTGTCTCATCAAAAGTTTTCGCAACTTCTCCATGACGGTCCGCGTCATCCTCAGTGCGCTGAGAGGGCTTCTCCTTTGCCGAGATGGCAATCTTCTCCTGCGCTTGGTGTTCCAGTGCTTGCAGGGTAGGACTCTCAGCAGAAGTGAAACCCTCTCTCCGAATGATGGTACTTACACCATTGGATCGATCTTGCCGATCCTCGGATGCTGTGACTTGGTCTCTTTAAAGGTTGAAACATTTCATTTTTCATAGAGATCGATGCCAATAATTTTCAGTGAAAATAAACGCTGCATGGAGAAATGAAACGTTTCAGGAACCCTTAATCTTTACTCGTTGACGGCGACTGATTGTTCTCCTGTCGAAAATCCACGTCGAAGTCATCCATCGATGGAAAAAAGCGCTTCGCGGTGTCTTCGTGGCTTATTTTTCGCCACGTCTCGACAGACCGCGGTGTCCCCCTGGCTACTGCCAGGCAGGACGAAGCAGAGTGCTGCGTATGAATCGTAAAGAACTCAGGCCCTCCGGCACCAGTTCCAACTCCAGAAGTAGAGCCTTCTCCTCTACCTGGTTCTGGTGCAGCTCCAGAAGTAGAGCCTTCTCCTCTACCTGGTTCTGGTGCAGCTCCAGAAGTAGAGCCTTCTCCTCTACCTGGTGCAGCTCCAGAAACTCCTCCAGACGCCGCGTGCCCAGAACTGATAGTTGTGTTATTTCGCGTCCATGGACCAGCGGAACCACTATTTCTGATTAGATCATCATCTGCGTCGTCGCTGTTAAGGCTAGTGCTTCTCCTTTTCCGCATCACGCGTTCCGCCACTGGCGAGTTACAGGCACTACTCAACATAGCCTCTTAGACGACCAACTACCTCTTCATGCTAGTTCATCTTTCAGTTAGTGCAGGAGCCCACCCATACTTTTCAGGAACGCAGCACTCAACAAAGATGAAGGACTTATTTCTAGCCTTAACCCTCCTCATCTACATCGCTGTCGTCTGCACCGTACAGACCTGCCTGGCCGCTCCCAAAGAAGTCGTCTAATGACCCAAAATCCATAGGCTTCATGCAATTATAGAGCACTTCTGGCTGTTTTTCAAGAAGCTCGCTCGTAACGGGGAGTCGCCGTCGTGCTTGTAGCGTTAAAGGCAGGGCGGAACAATCTGAGGGGGCGCACGGAAGGGGGTGAATGTTTGGCGAAGAAGATGCGAAACTACAACTACAAGCCCAAGTCCTATTCCTAATATATAAGTTCTTCTTCAAGAAGATGAGTTAGAGTCTGCACCCGTATGGATAGACGAGAGGGCAAATTAGCAAGACAAGACTTGCTTCTATCAATGAAGAACTTTTTGATTGATTGACATCCCTAGTAGTTGATTGATTGATTGATTGATTGGTTGACTGATTGACAAAGAACCAGCAGAGAAACTTATACATAAACTCAAAAACTCATTGAAAATTGAATGAAAAGAGACGACAACGACAAGCTTGATAACGAGACTGTTCTGTTTCTACTTTGGCACTAGTGGGAACAATCTGTGAAACAAATGTTGGGGTGAATGTTTGGCGATGCGATGAAAAAAACTGTACTTCTAGTTGTAACCCTTACTGTGTATGTGTATGTCTATGTGCATGGGTAAAGACAAAATAGCAGGAGAACCAGCAGGTAAAGGAAAACTACTAAAACTTAAAATCATTACTATTAAGCTCATACTCACGACTAATTTACCAAAAGGGGAAAAGAGTAACTACAGACTCTTCAGTGAAATCAGTGTAGTACCTCCTTCCTCTCGGACAGCGCGCACTTTGTTTCGGAATAGTGCTCCGACGCCAGCAGCCGTCGGAATCTTGACCTTCTCTTTGACAATCGCAGGTGGGACCTCCGCAAAAGCGCCCGCCGTCCGAAACTTGTCTACCAAGAGCCCCACACTTGGGTTGCCCGGGCTCAGATAAATGCCAGCCTCTAAAGTAGCGCCGGTTGTCCGCATTAGGGAGTACTATGCTACTTCTCAGGAGTAATATAATGTTTGGCGATGCTTAATATCTACTTCCACGTTGTGTTTTCTTAGTTCTTCTCTCTAAGCAGAGGCGCTTCGGACATATTCGGCAGTTCTACGTTTACCTCCTAGATGTGTTGAGTACCACATCCACCATCACCATGATGATTTTTCAATATAAAACTTAAACTACAGACAAGAACAACTACCACACCAGCGGAAAAAAGTTACTTACAACTAATACATTTAAGTAGTAATAGGTCGTGCTAGCGCTCTTCAATCCACCCTCATAACTCGCCTCCTCCGCTGTGTCCGACCTCAACCCACTTGCGCTGTCCGTGCCTGCTTCTCACAGCGCGTCGGGTCGGCAGGGAACCTGAGTTTTCTAGGATGAGAGACAAATCTTTGTTTGGCATGACTTTGCGAGCCACTGACCCACGTCCTCCACGTTTTAGCGGTTCAGCCAACTCCCACGCAAGGTCGCGACGCTGGTGTACGTACTGTTTTAGCTCTTCTGACGTTTCCAAAGCCAAGAGAATCTCTTCTTCTTGTGGGAGCGGAACTTTTGTTGGTTCCTTTGCAACTGGCAGATTGGCTGCGCCAATCGCGTCGTCTTCGTCGCCAGCCACAGCCTCGACGCTCCCCTCGTCTTGTACTTTGTTCTTATTTTCTCGCTCAGGTATAGCTTTGTCTTCAACTAGAGCAGACAACCCTCCTCCATCGTTCGCTCTTCCAAGTACATTTGACCCATCTTGATCTTGTGCTTGAAGTTCCCGTAGTAGTCGCATGGCATCTTCTTCTTGCTGACGCGCTTCTTCGAGTGCAGCTTCGTTAGCCGCATCTCCTCCACCAGCTTAGAACTTGTTGCCTAAAATACTTATAATTCATCTTGAAAGTCTAAGTCATCCTTGCCATGCCCATGCAGCTTATGTTTTGGTTATGCTTTGGTTTTCCCATTAAAGTAAAGCTATTAAGAGATCAAAGTGAGATGCTTTTCACCAGGACGAATTTGGCCAAGCCATAGTCGTCCTCCAATCGAGCGTCTGCTGTGTCCTTAGCCATGGCATCAGCAGCACTTCTTCGAAGTTCCACTAACTCTCCCGCTTCGTTCGGACGAATGACGGTAGAGGCCATACTAGCGTTAGCATCGAGTTCCACGCCGCCGAACACGAACGACGCGTTTGCACGCGTCAAGCCCAAGCCCGGCGCACGCCCGCCTACTCCTGGTGGTGGTGCTGCACTTGCTAAAGATGAGAACCCTCGTCCTACATGATCAGTCATATTAGAGGCATCAGGACTGCATCTCACAGATCATCTGGGCCCGTTTTTCTTCTAATTTTCTTTGTCCGGATCATGACGATGACCTTGGAGATGCATTTCATCCTACTACAGAAGTCATAAGCATATTAACTATAGTCGTACTACTAGACAAAGACAATGTTGTTGAGTGACCAAGCTTAATAGAAGTGCTGCAGGACTTGCCGGCTCCAGTTGTAGTCACCCTCATCGACGCAGGATCCGCATGGTGCGCATAAAAGCCATCCTCTGGAGCCACGTAAGCGCACGTCGGAGAGTTCACGTCAGATCCTGCCGGCGAAAAAAGCTCCTCATACTGTTCCGTCACAACAAGGCCTCCGGACCTACTTCCAGCAGGGCTGCCACTACTCGTTGTCGGAGGTCCTTGCGGTGCTCCTCTAATTTCCGCGTCTACTTGTCCTTGTCCTTTTTGCCCGTCCTCTGATGCAGGAGCAGCTTGTTCAGGCTTCGCCTTTTGTGACACGAGCTCAGAAGCTGCATCCGCGACGCCTTCAGAAGCTGCAACGGCAAACGGTGCGGCGAGAGGCACTACCATTTTCGTGCTCAGGTCACCGAGAAGCTTCTGCTTCACAAGATCCAGGTTCTGATCGAACTGAAGCACAATCTTCTGCTCCCGACAGCGGCATCGGCGTAGCCGCGACAGTGTCAGATCAGCTACCAACCATTCCTGGTTGTTTTCCAGCACGTCGGTTAACACGAAGAGAAAACCTATGACAGGAAAAAATGTACTCACAGAGACGCAACAAATTAGCTGAGATTTATAAGTAGAAAAGTAGCTGCTAAAGCTAATTTTCTGAGTATGAGTACGCTTTACTAGGTCATAAAACCCATTTTCTGTTTGATGTCTTGCTTCTGTGCAGTCATGGTTGCATACTTTGCAACTTCAGGATCGAACGAAACGCTGTAGAGTCCAGGGTGGCAGCGTTTTTTCGCGGCCGTCGCACTGTTTGCACTTGTTGCTTGAGCATGAGCCATGGCTGTAGAGCCTACTTTATTGCTTTCCTCTTGCTCGTCGACCTGCACGACCTCTGTCTTGTTGGATCCACCTGCTTGCGCAGGGCCACCGCGAATGACAATATCATCTGACGGAGTCGTAAGGGTTCGACCATCACGCGACTTGTTCTCCTGTCTCGTAGAACCGGTGCTTCTGCGTTGATGCGCATCGCTCTGTCTCTCGTCTCCGGAAGCACCGGAAAATGCAGAGAAAGTATCTATTTTCAAGTCTGCAGCCGCTTCACGACCGATTGCACTTTTATTTTTAGCAGCTTTTCCAGAGCTCGAGGCTCCACCAGCTTGTCCTTTCTTCGTAGGGGTCGTCCCCGGCAATCCGATTTTTGCAGCGCCCTCGCCACTACTTGATACTGGTACTTCTAGAGTCTCTTCTCCTGCCGATTGCCGACTAGATGTCCGCCGCCTCGGCCTCGGTGCACCTTGTGTGTTTTTAAGCACCATAGTAGCAGAAGTACTTTCCTTGCTTCCTTGTCTTGATGATGGGGCAGTTGGCGGGTAAGCACCAGATGAAGGTCCCGGTCTTGTTAGAGCTCCCTGAGAGCATCCCTATCCCCTATATTTGCTAAGTACAACTACTTGAAAAGGGGACGAGGGATGATGCTGAGGGGGCTCTCTTCATGCTCACCTTAATGGTCCTGGTCCTTCTGATGTTCCCGCTGCGCCATCTACAGCGTCCTGATCTCCAGTAGAAGAGGATTTGCGGCGCCAGGTTCGATGTCCCCGCTGACTACTTGTGGTCCATGTACGAGAGGCTGTTCCTGTTGCATCATTCAAAGGTTCTACTTTTTTTAAAGACGGCTTTTTTTCGCTTTCGCTTGGCCCCCTCATCTCGACCCCTATAATCCCATGGAAAACAAGGGAAAAGGGTACCGAGATGCCGAGATCTTCGAGAAAGATGAATTAATAAAGCTGGCCATAATTCTTGTTGTCCTCCTGATGTTTCATCGCCCCCCAGGGAAAAGAAGTCTGTGACTGTGGTCGTGTCACCTGAAGACTGAGTTTTTTTTCCTCGTCCGGCAGCATCGTCATGCTCAGCTTCCGAACCACTGCCGCGACTGGCGCGCCACGAAGCGGCCCCTGCCGGTCCGCCATGACGCAGGCTGCCCCGTCGAGGCATTTCACCTCCGGCATTTGTCCACGAACCTGCTGTACTGGCACCAGTATTCGAAACAGCACTGCCGCGACGCGCCGCCCCTCGACCTCGGGAGGACGTTGCAGCATCAGCAGCAGAAGGCGTACTTGAATCCGCCGTGGTGGCCGTGGGTGTCGGCGTCGCAGCGTTTGCGTTCTCATCGAGTTTAGAGCTCATCCTAATCTTCCATCTCAAGAAAGTGCATCCAGGAGGAGGGTGCCTTTCCCCCTTGAGAAGCCTCTACTCGGGGATGCTTCCGGAGATGCATTAGGGTAAGCCTTAACGAATGCAGTAGCACTTACGGACTTGCGCTTCCCAGTTCGGCCATCCCTGCCAGCAGCGGTCTCCACTGTGCGGCCTCGACCACCTTCCAGTGCTTGACTGTCCGAATGCTCACGAGCTCGAGCTTGTTCCAGTTCGACATTCCGAGCCCGCGCCACGGCCGCCTTCAGTGACGCTCGCGAAGCCTTCTTATTCGGATTTAACGACGAGCCAACCTGTACACGCAAAGCTTCGACACCCCACGACAAGCTGCATGCTTTTGTCGAAGATCTACTCTTGGAATCAAACAAATTAGGGTTGTTGACCAAGAGGAAAAGCAGCAACCGACTGAGCAACAGGAGAACTGGCGGTGACGATCCTCTTTTTGGCGAATTTGGCGTCATAATGGAGCACGAGCGTCGACGTCTTCAGCAGGAGACGACAGGCAGCTTCTTGCTATGACTTGCTGTGCTGTGCTGCATCAATGGCGCGACTGTGCGTTTATGCTGGTTCCATCCGTACAACAAAGAAGAAAACGGGGACGTCGAACGATACTTTGGTTTTGGATCCTAGTAATTATCAAAATAACTGCACTTATTTAGCTCCTTCGCTGCGCGTAGTTTTTACTTGCACCGAGTATTCTGCTGTCGAGGACATGACCATAACTGCATTCTATATGAACCTAACTGTAAGTGCATTTATTCATTTTGATAATACGACGACCACAACAAGCGTCTTCTTCTTTCTTGATGATGATCCGACCGATGTAGAAGGGAATAGGAACGGGACAACCTCCGCGGCTCGAGTCTGATCGCAACGGAGCCTACGGAATATCTGACTTTCTTGAAGTGTTGGTGGTCGTGGACGTGTTCTCACAGCCTACGGAATTTCTTACTTTCTCAAGTGTTGCTGTACGTGCTGTTCTGCTTCGGAATAGCACCAAAAACGACTTGTTTTGGTTCTCCCACGCACCGAGCGTTTTACTATCACTATGGACCAGTAGCTATCATCATGTCAATGTCCATGTCCTGTCACTCTAATGTCTCTCAGGTGTACGATTTCTCATCTAAAACTGAACAATACAGGTCGTCCACCACTACATTGCTGGCGACACTGACAGTAAGCTAACTTCAGGCTCAGGAGTCGGCTTTTTGCGAGTATGAGTTTCGGTTGCGAGAACCTCTTACATTTTGACACAAGAAAAGCAAGTTACATTACTTCGCAGCACCTCGTCATTTCTAAATTCGTATGCACAAATTGAGCATTTTTTTTGATGTTGATTGGCACAAATTAAGATAAACAAGCATGAGTCCTCCTCGTCGAGGACTGTAAAGCCGGTTCTCGTTGTCGATTTGTAGTTGTCGGTACTACTACTGGATGTCAAGTTCTTGTGGTCATCATCGATTTTGTTGGGCCCTTGTTCTGCTCGAGCGGAGCTTGTTGTTCTGCACCCTTCCTAGTTCTCACTCTGTTGATGATGAATATGAATTATCGAAAACTACTGGTACCAGTATGTAAAAACAACAAGAACTGCACTATAACTAAGTTCCCAAATTTATCAATGAGATATGAGCAACGACACCATCCCCAACATAACGCTCCTCCTGTCGTTATTTCAAATTCAATCATCGTGAAGAGAATTACCATAAGGAGACCAAGATCCAACTGTGTCTAAATTTTCCAAGTAGTGTTGAAGCTTTCAACTTATAATACAAGCAAATAATTGGATAAGAACTACATCATGCTTCCTTGTCTTTAGTTCGAATAAAATCTGTAGCACTAGTTGTCGTTCATTGATCAAATATCTTCACTTTTGTTCATCTTCAAAGCCGATCAAAAAACAGGAACATCAATGTTGATGTGGACCACCTAACACTTCTACTCCTAGTCCTAGTCCTACAGAAAACCAAGATCAAAATCTAGATAAGAAAATAGAACATACTCTTGATGTTGATGTTGTTCACATATCCATTTATTTCCGTATTTGAGATGTTTTCCCACATCACTATGACTCGTGTGTCCATCACATTGATCATCATACTGCTCCCTTAATGAACTACACGACGAGTTAGCTTCTTGCGTCCTCCTACATCTCGATCTCGATCTCCGGTGATTCATTAATTCATTCTGACGAGTCCTACTACAGCTTGTCGTCGATAGCATTGGACAACCTACAGATACATGATGTTTTCATATACATATTAGTTGTGCTGTATCTACTCGCAACTTGTTACGCCCTCGCTGCAACAGTAGAAAACGATCTGAGATGCTCAAGGTACTTGCTGCAGTTCGTAGCTGCTCCTGGATGTATATGATTGAAAGCTTCCTCCTGCTTCTTCTTATACTTAACACTTATAACCACACAGCAGGACAGACGACAGGAGTAGTGAAGGACGAGGAGGTCTAGAAAAGGGCAAATTACTATTATACTCTTCTATGATAATGATAAATGAGCATAGCCATGATCTTATTGAAAGTATGAATGGGATATTGGCGCCAATATGCTCGCGGCCTCAGCCGACCGCTAGTTGGAGGTCTTTGTGAGGACAACATCTACCAGCATATTGCAATTGCTGCCCATAAGTCAGATTCATGCTATTGGTTGTTCAAGTTCAAGTTTAAGTCCATGGGCCTCGATCAAGTTCAAGTTCAAGTCATTTTTTTTTCCATAGGTTTCACGTCAAGTTGTATACCTATTCGAACTACGAAGTAACAAAGATCAAAATCGATGCTCAAGAAAATTATAATGAGGTCATGTTAGTAGATACGTATCATATGACAATTATTTTCTGTAATATCTTTCATAAGAAGGAGCAATAGTGAGTAGAAGTAGATGAGAATGCCTTGTGATTTACTCTCTACAACTTTGACGATGATCTCGACTTTGTGCGCTTCTTCAAAAAATGAAAACCCCTTCTGAGAAGGATCATGTCATAGCAGTGCCACAAAACAGCGTCGAGAGAGTCATCAAAGTTGTGTGAAACAGAGAATCTCACTTAACAAGACATCAGAAACTATGTGAATGGTGACGATGAAATTATACCCAGTCAGGAAGACGGGTGGTCCTACTACTTCAAGATCACTATATTACTGTCACACTGATGTACATGTATGTGAACACGAATTATGCGTACTTCTTCTAGCTAAAAAATGTGAAAAATGCGGTTGTAGATGGCTCGGATACGATGACGAGGAACGATAATACAACCAATAGAAATAGCAATACCAATATTTATCTGTAAAAAAAGCTGGAGTCTTGTTTGACTACCAGCACAACACAAATCTAAATGTATAAGGTCCAAGAAGTCTATCAAAAAGTCCCATCAAGAAGAAGCGTTTGTTCCCAGCCTCCAGACCGTAAAAGTCAGACCATAAAAGTCAGTAGAAATGGTAGACACGGTAGAAATGGTAGACACGGAACAAGAACAATGACTTCTTCAGTATCACGATCACTCTCCTTAGATTATATTAACTTTTTGGATATACATTTTTTTCAATTCTTCAAGGAAGAAATCCCAACTTATAGATTTAGATACAATGAAACACAAGAAACAGCCAGGCTGATTCGGCTTTATCCTTGAGGCATGCCCAAACATAAAAGCTATAATACTGGTGCGCCCACAGCCGACGTTCCGAAAAAAGTGCGCATTATCATTACGAGGACGAGCATTCATTTCGCGGTACGTCTACTCTGCGGGCCAATTGCTAACCCCAGCGCAACCGCAACAAAGCAACCAACCCTTGAATAGAGTTATTTTCTCGAGTTCTACATCTACATACTTCTTCATGAAACGAATTCGTCTACTACCGCTGCCCGGTGTGAAACACAGAGATAGAAGATTTACTAGAACCTTTTAAGTATTCGTATTGCCATCAAACCTCATGTATACTGGACTTGAAACACGAAAAGAAATTTCAACAAAAGAAATCGCGAGTATCAATGTGCAGCCGTCACTCCCTCGCACGACCATTCAGTTTCAGATTTATTCTTGCTAACCACGACCCTTATAAATGTCATACTCTTTGAAGAGGTCTCAGTCTCAGAGATCTTCTTTCCCGACAACCTATCTATCGAAACGGGGACAATGACGATACATCATGATAAATAATCTTGTTCGGGAAAAATAAGCATGAGTATGTTTTTAAGTATGTGTAACTTCGTACGACCGAGGATGAAGATCTTCTACTTTTTAGCTGATTAATGCCTGTCGCGTCGTAGATGGTGGCCATTTGCGAATGTGCTTTGTGCTTAGTGTCTAAAACACGCGGCCGATGCCAAGCCAATCTGTCGCCTCTTTCCAGCCCAGCCCTACAGGTTCATGATGTTGAACAGGAAGTAGTGCGAGATGGAGAAAGACTGAGGATCAACAAGACATACAACAAACCTTTTCGAATGAAAACAAAAGCAATGCGACGCGCACGACAAGAAAGTTAAAGTAGAACTAAAAAATTAAAACTACTCCACTGACCCAATCGACCCTTTGCTGTTACTTCCCTCACGAAATGATGAGATCCGACTCGTCCTCGTCCAGGCTACCACATATAAATGAGTCCTCCTCTAGTAAATGACGAAGACACTAGGAGAAGGAGGACAAGACGGAGACTAGAAGACTTTCTTTCCACTCAAATAGAAAACTTTTAGTTTCTTGAAAAGAGTGCAGACAAAGAAAACGTGGCCCCATCAATCTCCATCTCCGCCAGCCCGAGACCCATATACTTCCACTTCGTTTTACTTAGTTATAAGAAGTACTTCTACCTATACAACCTCGTCTTAGTCGCAAATTATGTATACCGTGGGGTGCGTGCAAGGTGGTGGATACAGTAGACGCTGTGCTAGTAAAAATTCTTCAGCGGGAGCAGCCTCAGTGTCAGTGTCGCTATATTCGATAGATTAGAGCTGTCGCTTTGGAGAAAACACAGAATGGCTTCATTGAATGAAAGGTGAAAAGTTTTCGTTTTCCTGACTTCTCCCATCTTCATCGAATAGCAGCAGTCTAAGCGGCAACATCTAATGCAAATATCTGACGAGCGAGGTGGTGAAACAAAGTAAAACGTAAAAAGTTGATAGATTGCTTCGCCGGAAGTAGTGGCCGCAATACTTCTGTATAAGTAACAGTCTATTCGTAGTTGCCGGATGAAGTAGGCATAGACCATGTTGATCGGACTTATAGGCTGTGACAACCTCGGCTGTGGCAATGGGAAACTCGTGGCCACTCACCACTATTATATATAGGCTGTGGCAACCTGGAGGTCACTCACCACTTCGAAGGGAAGAAGGTTGATGCGTGTCGCAAATCCCGGACGAAAATGCTGACGGATCGATTTGCTTTCAATGAGTTTGTTCTCTAACTATGATAATGATAGGTAGATACATCATAAAGTAGAATGATGGCATATGGCTGAGGAAGCTCAACAAGGCTCCCTATCTAGAAGGGTTAGGTTTCGGTGACAGTACTAGTACATGCGGACAACGCTTCACAACCACTGCACGAGCATACGAGATACTAGTAGCCTAAGGTAGTAGCAATTCAAATTCATGCTCACGCGCAGCTTTTTGCAATTACTTTTTTGTTGGGGATCGGGATATATATTGTTCATAATAGAAGAGGACTCAGTACCCGGCACCTGATCTTTGAGAGGACGAAACAGCAGGGCAAAAGCATTGGTGCTCCCCTCGCCTTCGTACTCTTTCCTCCCATGATCATGTGTCGGGGGACAGACTCATCAAGTTTGCCTTATTGAAAATTTCTATTTCGTATAAGCTAAAGCTCTAGCATCAAGCGAAAAATATATTTCATTTTCATTTTCATAACCACGTCGTTGACGATGTCGTCGTGACGATGTCGCCGAAATCTATGGCGATCCTGATCCTGATACATAAATGAATAAAAATACGAATACCATGATTCTTGTGGACATGTAATTGGCTAATTGGAACGAAAAACATAACGCCAACATAACTTCAATTACCACTACTAGCCACTCATTTTCATTCCTCTTGGCTGCAGCGCGTTTCTCCGGCGCAGAGCAAGAAGTTGAGGAATATCTCACATGGCAGGGTAGGGGTACCTGACATGAAGATGAGCTTTCCCCTTCCGTAGGTCGTATGTATAATTTCTAGCAATAGTATATTGATGAGTTTGAGTCTTGAAATCTTCACGACTATGGTAAAAAACAAGCCCTTTCGAACTACTTGCAACAACAAGCCCGCACATTCTACTGTGTTACTTCCGCAGTTTTCCGACATTATATTAAAGCCAACAATTTTATTCTATCTTGTGAAGAACATAGTTTTTCAAACTTCATCGTAGTAATCAGGCGGATGTATGACTTAGGCATAGGCTTACTAGGGAATTGATAGTAGATGATGGTACTTACTAGCAGGGTGGTAATATACGTTTAGAGTTCTCTTTGGTTGACCTTTATGTAGTAAAAGGAGAGGCTATTTTTTCCTTGCCTTTGACAGGCACAGGGTTAATAGAACTTAGAGTACAATAAATTTCAAGGGTTAATAGGGTATCATTATCATCTACTACCTCTAGTACTGAAAAAATAGCCCGGCTTTAATATTTCAGAGAAGATAGGCTGTATCTGTATGCGTATCGTGTGTCTTCTACTTACTTCCTTCTCGACATGGAGAGACATTTCATTTGCCCAGCTTCACATGTTGAAATCTTCAGCAGAGAGCAGTGGGCAACGAGAACTACTGGCACTGACCTTCTTGATGTCGTAGCTATGTAATATTTTGCGTCAGCACTCACACTCAGCAGCGCCCTTGCTGCGCTACTACTGAACAAGATCTTGTTGAACGTGTACTAGTATATTTGTGCTGTGGTCACCTTCACCTGTTGTAGCAGCACCAGCAGCTGTGCTTCTTGTAGTGTTGTCGCCAATTGTAGACGGCGCCGTGCTAGTAGCAGCTGTGGAGAACATCAATCCGGGTGGTGGACGATGTGGCCGTTTGATCGTATCTTCGAGGCCAGGTGGCGCACGTGATATAGTGGTCGTGCTGACATAGTGGCCCTCGCTAAGATCATCGCCGACGAGCGTGGTAGTGAGAGGCCTCACAGGACCGTAACCATGATCATACCTGGGATAGTAGTTTATGGAAGAAAGACATGTGTAGCTTAGTTCTTGGAATTTGTATTAATTTTATCAAGAAGATCTGTAGTAGTGTACCCATTCGTGGGGTATTACAGAAGATTTAATTAGTTGTGCATCTTCCCGTTCGTCCCTCTATTCTTTTCCCCCTGCATTTTTCCAGGTGAGAGCGGAGGAAGTCAGCCCTTTTTGATTGCTGTCTCAGTGTCATCGAGGTCTGACAAAGCTCAATTCGCCACTTCTGTAATAGATAGTGATAGAATTGGATTTACATACATAATTGCAACAAGATCGATTCGCTTATAAGTAAGTAGATTGAGACACAGTTTCTCTTTCAGCTTGATCAAAAAAACAAAAAACGGCAAAAGAAATAAAATTCTAAAAAATACGGGTCAAGAGTCTGCTGCAGCTGTTCTGCCCAAGACGATCTGTGGTGGTAGTCTGACCAAAAGTCGTCTTCATGACCGTTTTGCTCCAAAGACCACGGATCATTTGGGGACGACCATACTGCGGCCGCTAAATCATCATCATCTGCTGCATGATGATAATTCCCCTGACGATCGAGGTCGACGCCGCTGATGTCTGAGCCAAGCTCAACATCACAGCGCCATCGACCTCGATCATCAGGGTAGTCGATGGCGCAGTGATGTTGACCTTCCCTCAGAAGGATGGGATGCGGCTCCTCAAGGGGTGACACATCGATACGCAGCTGTCCTTGATCAACAACGTGACCGGAACCAGGGGATGAGGTGCCGACTACACTCGTCCTCGTATTAGGCGGAACAATAGGCGCTCCTGCGATTCTTCTCTCAGGCGTGGTTACAACAACCTCCCGCTCCTCGTCCTCCCCTACCCCTACTTCACCACGAGGATTTTTGCTATAAAAATTTGTTCCATCCTCCAACAACATTGCCGTCCTCGACCTGCTTAGCAAAAGCTCTTGTTCTTCTCTTTCTTGTTCAGCTTGAAACTTTTCGAGGGACGCGCGCAAGGAATCTGCTGAAGAGTTGAGCACGGGAGAGTCGGCATTTGAGCAGGCGCCTGAACAACCGGCAATCGAGGACATCCCCGACATGTGGCTCATAGCACTCGAAGAGGATGTTGGTTCTGGCACGCGCGTCGAAACCTCCGTGACATTCCCAGTGCCCGTGGACCATCCTCTAACTTTATTGTTGCTGTTCAAAAATAATGCATCCCTTACTTCTACTAGCTCCTTTGTTGAAGAAGACATCGCCTCCATTTTTGTTCTTGAGGTAATCAAATTGTGGTGACCCTGGACGACCTGGTGAACATTGCCACAGTTGGAGGAGGTACGACTTCCATGTTGTCCACCGCTGGGTGCTCGATTGGGGTTCACTTCGGTGATAGAATCCAGATTTGGGAGCACGTCGGCAAGCTTGATCTTGTTGATAGACGAAGAAGGATGCACAAAACCCGCAGTACCACCAACTCGTGCAGTGTTGTAGTCTAGTATTGTGCTAGTCGTGCTGCTGCAACCCCTTGGTCCTCCACTGTAGCTGTTGTAGTGATCCTTGTTGATGTCGTGATTTGTATTTCTGTTGCTGGTTGTTCTGTAGTTGTTGTGCACGTGGTTCGCCATTTGGTTGTCGCGCGTAGGAGCACTTCTCTCGATGTAGTTGTTCGAGTATGATTCACCACGACCATTTGCAACCATCGTATTCAAATTCATCTTCGTCAAGGCTTGATTTCTATTTTTGCTGCGATTGCGATTGCGGGTAGCTTGTGAAGATGTCCCTGTAGTTGTTATCGGATGATGCTCCCACTTACGTCCATCTTGTTCTTGTTTAAGTTTATGATTGCGATCAAGAGCATGATATCCATCGTCTCGATAATGTCCTCCAGCGCCATTAGCTGCATAATTCGCAGCAGAAGGGGGCCCTCGTCCGCGATTCGACACCGAGCCTCCACGACTGTCGTGGTGGCCACGGTTCTTCGACGCTTTTTTTCCCCCCTGGTGTCGACCACTAGGGTTGAAAGAGTAGCTCGAAGCCACTGAAGCCCTTCCGTGAAAGGTCGCGTCAGAGTCGTTTTCGAGTCCTGAGGACGTTGTCGAAAAGGTGGCAAAGTAGTCTTCGACTGGGTGATGAAAATTCACGTGAAGATTCCTGTTCTTGTGTGCCTCGACAGCGGGAGAGGAGGTCCTCTCGACCACAGAGTCAAAGGCGGGGGTCCTCTTCGTCTTTCCACCTTGCCCGTGGTTCAGCACTCGCCCATAATCTTCATGCTGGTTGTGGTTCCTACGAGGTGGAGCTGCCCGTTTGTCTTGATACGAACCAGACGAGTTGGATGCAGCAGCCACTGCAGCCGCAGCTTGTGGCGCTGTCATAAACGGAGTCGAGGAAGTAGCGTTATTCCGTTGAAGATGTGTTGAGTGTTGCGAAACCATATTGTTGATCTTCGAAGAGGAGCCACGACGACCGGCGTTCTTGCTGTAGACCTCGTTAGCGAGGTAATCGTTGTCACGTAGGCTCCGCGCGTAGCTCCGCGAGGACGTGGACAGACCCGGGGGCGCAGCTGATGGAGGACTGCGTCTTGGAACGCGTCGTTCTCGTTTTTGGACTTGGGGTAAATCAACATAGTTGTTCTGAAGAGCAGGGGGGTGTGCTTGATTACTTCGTCGCACTGTTGGCTGCTGCTGAGGACGGCCTCTTCGCTTTTCCTCTCGGAGCAGCCGGGCTCCGTCGTCGTGATTGTATTTGTCGTACAACTGATGCTGATCAACATTCGGATTCGTCCTACGGTCGATATTGGTCGTGATGTAGCTAGTAGTAGTCGTGGTGTTATTTGGCATCATGTAGTTGCCACGGCCATGATCATATACAGGAGCTGCGTTGCAGCTCTTCATCATGTTGTTGCACGAAGCCTGTGTGTAATCTGCAGCCGAGTCGAGGAACCGGCTTGTTGCGGCCGTTGCTCCTCCGGAATCTTCTTCCATTCGGTCCCTCTGGTTGTTGTCCATTTTGTTGATGTCTTCCACTCTCCTGTTCATTTTGTTGTTCTGGACGTGTAACGGCATAACATCATCTGCGGCCGCAGGATTCGGAATAGGATTACCATAGTACCTTTCGTCACAGGTCTCCATCGCATCCAGCAGTGTCTTGATCCGGCGTACGTTGTCGGAATTAGCTGGTTCAGCTAAGAGCTGGGTCAAAACCTGCTGCGCAGCCGTCTTTCTTGACTCCTCCAGTGATGCAGACAAAGCTCGTGGTCTACGGTTATACTTTGGAAAAGAGTGGTCCACTTGTTGGCTGTTATAGCATGGTTCCTGCACATGCTGCTCGCGAACATTGTTTCGACGAACATCAGAGTGATGCACTAGTAGTGGTCCTTTTTCCGCTGATGATGCGTCAATACGTCTCATCTCTTCATCAACACTTTCACTTCGGAGGTTGTACTTGACGTAGTTGTATGGAGATTGAGAGGAAATAAAGTTTTGCTTGGTACCTAATGACCGCTGCTTCTCTGAAGGGCCGCGCGTTGCAGCTGGTAAGGTGGTAGAACCGCGCGCAGCAGCAGCTCTTCTTTGCTCACGCTGATCGTCTAGTCCAACTCCTGCATTCGAGGTGTTGGACCTCCCACAGGATCGACGAGGTAACTCACTGTCCATCCGCAAATCGTCTGCAGGAGGTTGCCGCCAGTTCAAAGGTGTGCTATTTTGTTGATCCCTACCACTGCCTCCATAGCCATAGGTATGTCTACTTTCATTATCATTCGTAGGAGCTTTATTCACTATCCCCTGTTTGCTTTTTCCCTTTGATACCACGCTCTGTGTTCGCGTGTCCGATTCCTCAACAGCACCAGGCGCAGGTAGTGATGATGTGGGGCCCTAGTAATTGTAATAAAAATATATTGAAGATTGATGCCCTTGTCAGACTTACAACGAGGTGCTGGCTTTTACTCAACTCTAGCTACCAAAATCACAGGCTTACGGAATCCAGGAGCGCAAGTACAGTTAAGTATTAGTATACCTATTATAGCTAATATGGTCTTACCCGCCAACATATACGTATAGCTATAACAGAAAGTTATAAGTATAGCTTAATACCTTACCCAGTTAATAAGTTGAACATACCTATAGGCTATAGCTATAGCTATTTCACAGAAGTACTCGTAGTACCTCTTGATTCCGGTTGCCTTCCGCTTTACGTGCCTCTTCTTGTTGCAGAAGGGATAGATAAAGCTCCAGATCTTCCACGTTCGCTGGCCCTGCACCTGTCACATTCTGTCGATTGTTGGCTGCCGAGGGTGACCGGATATGAGGCTCGATGTTTCCTGGAGCAAGCATCCCCTTCGTATTAGAGCTATGCATTATGAGAAACAACACGACAGACTAGGAAAAACTTGTTTGAGGACAAGTAGTAGAACCACAGAAATTCTGGCAGCTGTTATTCTTGTACAAACAACTGAAATAATAATAAACCACAACTTTTTTTAGCCTACCATTAAGTAGAACAATGAAGATGCTCCTTGTGAAGATTTGCAGCGTTCAATTCTAAGTTCTTCTGTTTCCATAAGTTTTAAAACAGCTGCAGTTTGATCCGGCTGCTGTTCATCCCCCACTTCCGGGCATACGATTTCCATGTCTACGTCACCAGCGCCGAGTAAACCGCTTACCGGGTTGCAGAACGCACCCCGCTGCCTCTCCATTTCGGCTATAGAATTGTTGAAGGCGACCAACTCATAGTGCTTTCGCGGCAGGGCGTCAAGGCCTACGGCTTTGAGCCATTCTTGGCTCACCTCGTGAAGGTACCGGCAATACTTTCCGTAGATACAGCTCGCATTGCTCCCATGATAAAACAGACACAGCCTCTGTCGTGGAGCGGGAGAAAGCCGCAGATCTGATGGGAAATTGCAAAAAAGGGTCGTCAAAATCATCGTCAACATCATTATTACTGTCACAATATCATGTACTTCATACACATTTTCTACGTCTACTCACCTCTTAGACTTACAACTACTAGAAGATGAAGACGAAGATAGATAGATAGATAGATAGATAGATAGATGTGCCCACTCGTGGGGTGTAAGATCTTTTAATTAGAGGTTGCATCAAGATTCTTGAAGAATAACACCGGAAATCGTGTGCGCAAATGGGCAGTCGGCTCGACGACATCCGCCATTGAAGTTCATCTTGCAAAAAGACGTCTTTGCAAAGTTGGGCAGTTGTCGGAGATCCTCCTCTGAATGCGCATAGTTACAGTTTGCGCCGTACCGGCAGATGCCTGCCCGCTGAAATCTGCACATTTTCGTCTTGGCATACAGTGTCTGCTTCTTCTGCGCAATCACAGGTCCACCGTCCAGGACTTCGCTTTTTTGGTCGCACCCTTTAAATAAATAGTGCTGGTCCTCCGTTGCAGGTGGAGTAGTACTTGAAGAAGCTGTCGGTCGAGCAGGAGCAGTCATGTTCATCTTCGTAACAGAAACAGTATTAACTTCTGAGGTCTTGTTGCCAGTCGTGGTCGTCACTGGGTAGGTGGAGCCGTTGTACTCGGACGAAGATGTCGAAACTCCTTGATGTTGCTGCTTTTCCGTTGCATCATCTTCTACCCCTTCTAAAAAAACAACATCTCCATCCTCTTGATGACCACCACGCCAAGCACAGTCCTCCGGTGTTTTCTGTTGTTCTTTAACATCATCAGAAGGTGCAACTAGTCCTCGTAGGTCCTCGACGCTCTCATCTGAAGGCCGCTCTCCTGCGAGGTTCTCATCTTTTCGGACTGGGGCTGTTCTCGCGGGTGATTTCTCAACCTCAACGGACTCAGCATCCGATACGAGTACCTCGTCCTTCGCCCGACCCGCAAAAGGGGTCAGCGGATCCTCAAGCGACGACGACATTTTTTGGGAGAGTTCAAGCTCTGCAACACGATCTAGATCTACGTTGATGTCCTCGTCCCCTCTACTCTACCTCTAGTCCGTCGTACTCAGTTATTTGTGCCTAGAAGTACAAGCACTGGTGACCGCTGATCCTTTTTGCTTCTTCCTTGTTTCCCTAAAGTAGAAACAGACACAGGGAAAGATAAAATCGACGATCAGGATGGTGTATGAGAAAATGTCCTCTGCTCCGGAGACCACGGCTGGTTTTGTTGTTTCTTCTTATCTCCTCTTCTTGCTAGTACAACTACAACTAGTAGTACTAACTTGGTAGTTAGCTTCTGTAGTTCTTAGAATGAAACTAGTACTTAAAAATTCCAGTAGAAACGTGTCTGAAGAATATTAACTAAGGTTTAGTCGGTGTCGGTCTGGTCAGCATAGGCTTCCTCGTCGACGCATTCACTTATTTCATCGGCTGCTCTAGAAACAGTTATTTGCGATACAATTTCAAGAACATCAAAGCGAGAACAGCTCCGATTTGGTTCGAAGGATCAAAAAAAATGAATCAACCCCCGCACCTCTGCTCTAGATGAACTCACGCTGTAAAATCACTGTCTCGTGATTGACATCCACCACCACGAGTATTCGAAATACGAGGCTACGACTATGTATTAATGGCTTTTGCTTGCTTATTTTTCCAGTCTAAATAAAACACGGCTTTCGTCTAGTTCTTCACTAAATCATGTCTGTGTTATATCTATGCGGACCGACCTGTGCGCCAATCAACGACTCTGTAGTGCCAGCAACGCGCTGAACAAAAAATACAAGCAGTCGGCAGCACACAACTCGAGCAGCAGCTAACTCTGACAACCCTAAAGACACTGACACAGGTGGAGTTACGAATACTATTAATCTTCCATCACTTATACTTCAACTTCTTTCTTAACGATTTTGACTAGCAAATAGGTTCTTTTGCTAGCAACATACAAGAACAACTTTGAATGACCACTCGCAGTTCAATTTCAATTGAAGGTAGTGCATCAACTTGCCGAATAAAGGCGCCACGCAACATCCGCAGATACGGGACGAATTACTACTGGATGTTGATACTTGTAGTCTTCAATGCAAGAGTGCCTTCGTTAGTGTTACAGTTCAGTCGGATTACCAAAGACTAGCGAGAACTGCGACTTACTTACTTCTCAATGGGATATAATCGGATGAAGACTACACCACAGGCAGCTTTCCATGCCGGGGCGATCAGAAAAACTTCGGTTTTAGAGCAAAAAAGACCCGGAAAAAAATAAGACACTCATGTAAAAACGATCATGAAAAGATACCCTATATTGTTTAGAGAAATGACCTCTCAAACAGATGATAAGAAAAAATGCTTACCATTCACGCGAAGGATTTTAGTCCATTCCAAAACCAAGAATGGAAAATTTTGTACTAGATTGATAAATTGACGTCGTTACAACATCAAATGACATCAAAACAGAACAAATTTTACAATTTATCACAGCAGTTTCTACTCCTTTGTACTTATTTGTAATAGAGTTAAGTACCTCTAGTACTTATAAAGGTCTTCTTCAAATATCTATGTATGGGAGATTGGAGGATGCCCGTTTTGGACGATGAGAAGATTCAAACGGATCAAAAAATAAAACCAAACATGCACGAGCAGCAAACGAAAGCGCGGCTGATGTTAAAGCTGCTGGTATGTTATTTCATAACCTATTTGTCTGAAACGATTTGTACTCCCGATAGTCACGGTAACACCCCCCGATAGTAACTTCAGTTTCTTGTTCGACGTCTATGTGGACATCACTTCAGTTTCTTGTTCGACGTCAACAAAAAGTGGAAAAAGAAATAGAATAAGTTCTCGTGGTTCTTGTTCGTGTTGCTGGTAAAAATAAAGACAACTTGTTCTAGTAGTTGCACGACAACTACAGGAGTAGATATTTATAGTATATCATATACGGACTTCAACATATTTTCTGCGAAAGAGAATCGGCCAAGAACTTCATCAATCTTAAGTTTAAGAACTTCATCAAAGAAACTATGAGTAGTTGTGATAATCTTCCTTCCATACAATTTAAAAAGCGACGACCTGAAAGAAGGTGCAGGCACTCCTACTCCACTCAACAAAGAAACTATAGGAAGTCTTATAGGAGACGTATCAATATCATCCAGCTTCAACATGTACTTGATGCTGGATATCAGGCGAGCTTAAACTTATGCTCTGAAGATGTCCTCTGAAGATGCACTGTCGTTCCGGAAATAACAAGAAACACTAGTGCAAGTGCAACGAAAGAGACATTTTCAAATAAACGAGAATATCACGACGAGCTGCTACACAGGTCGTAGAGGAGGTGGCGTTGGGAGACTAAAAACTTTGATTTTTATGGTGGAGAACTTCACAAAGAATGATTTGTGACGAGTTGTGAAGATAAATCAGTCAGTTGTAACATTCAAGCGATATTAGGTAGAAACACGATTGGGATGCGGTTTGACAGCACGGGGGATTTGCCTTATTCAAGAATAACGATAAAGCTACTTGGACAAATTTGGATTTCATCAACATCCAAGATCGAATATAACATCAGCACACACTTTCTTCACCTCCACCTAACTCGCTTCATCCAACACGACTAAGGATAATGAAGCCTCTATAACAGGCTGCTAGGCATCCGAAAAACCTCGAATGACACCAGCGGCACCGAAAGCGTAAGCGGCAGCGGGTCCGTGTGGTAAAAAAATTTTTACAATATCAGGGAAAGGTTGCGCACGACGGACACAAGCCTTCGGGCGAGTGAAGCTAGAGGTTTCCGACTACTTAGAAAAAATCATCTTCATCGATCATATTCTTATCTATTTCTAACTATGTTTAATAAATACGTTCAACTTCAATATTGATACATATCCGCTTGATAAAGATAAACTCAAATGAGTCTGAAGATCTTGATAGATCATTTTTATTGATGAGTTAATCGTCAAAATAGAAGATCACACACCTTCTTCTCGTTCTTCCAACTATAAACCAAAACAATGCATGCTCGTCAAAAGTCGCCGCGTCAGTCAATCAATCAACCGTATGCGGCCGTCTAACGAGCGGCGGCGCTGGATAACGGAGGAACTAACAGACTCAACCAATCAGTGCTCGCAAAAGTGTCTGTGTTGACTCCACGACGTGGGCTCTGTTGACGCAGAGTTTTTTCAAAAGTGAAGAGCATAAGAAAATTGAAAGCAAAGAAAGGAAAGACAAACGACGACCTAAGGAACGATCACGATGTAATAAGAAAAATAATTTCGACTCGTCCTGCAAGGTTAGAATCTTCAAATCATGGTCGACAAAGAAAATGAGTGATAGGGTGAGTTTTCTCAGTAAAATTTGATGGTTCTCCTGAAATTCTTGCGCATTCTGTTTTGCTGCACATGCAGAAACCTAGTAGCGAAGGAACAACTAGGCAGATGATTGTTGATTTCCGCCACAAACAGACCACACGACATTTCGGACGAAGCATGGAAGACACACAAGAGACAACTCTAACAAGACCGCAGGATCTTCACACACTCGCGCAGCATAATAGACCTTGTTGTGTTGATTCATTCTTTTTGCGAGGCCATCATCTCATCGAGCTCGAATTTGAACAGGAACACTATGTGCTTGATATAGAACTTTCTACTTGTAGGTCTAGTCTTGTTTGGCGAACAAGTCGCGTTGACTTCTACGTCTGTCTCTACCACGGTGCAAAAATGATCATATCTGGAGAGAGTGAAGTGATGATCTATGATCCTAGGAGAGGGCGAAACCTGTGCAATTCTTTTAGCGCTGTCCGTAATTCATCTTTCAAGTGCATCCTTCAAAACTTTTAAAGTATGGGGGGAGTATTCCCTTAGGATACTCCTCCGTACCTACTTACGTTTCAAGGATGCGCCCACCAAAGATGTATTAGGTACAGCCTTAATTCTTTTGAATGAACTATTTTCACATTTGAGATGAAGAATTTGCATCCACTTCTCGCACGCTTAGCTTACGAAGTGCACGATGAGTACGCCGAGAGCGATCTTCGTACTTGATTATGATGTTGTTGATGATCTACCCTCATGATGATCATGACTTCTATCATGACAATCGAAACTAAAAATATGTCGCATCAGTATCAGTAACAGAAAAAAATAACCTCTGTTTTCTTTGAAGATACACAGTACTAGTATTGGCACTTTGACGAGGAGGGATTAGCACATTTTTCTAGACGGGGGTCTCAAAACTCGTTAGATTTATGCAAATGCAGGTGGCCACGGAGAGGACCTATCAATATCGAGTTTGAGTAGGAGTAGGTGTAGCACCAGGCGGGTAGGGGAGCAGCCCGCCAGTGATATTAATTAGGTGTTTGTGTTTGTTGATCATTGTAGTTCGTCCTCTAGATTAGAAAATCGCTTTGTTGATAGTCCTGATCTTCGCGGTAGTATAGGAAAGCCTTCCCGGCGTTGGCGGAATCGGTCGCGGTAACGTCCACGGCTCTGCGACATAAGAGACCCTCAAGCGGCCACCACCATGCAACAACGAGGCGAAGCCGCGATTTTCCGTCGGAAAAAATGCTCCGAAGTCTCGGGGCAATCATGTTATGCATGTCCGGCAATAGGTACAAGAAAACAACGCTAGCATCTCGCTGCAACACATCGACCACGGGTCGTGGGCGACGAAAGCATGTTGTGTAGCTGGTTGTTGGACACGACAGGTTGCCACTTCCACTAGCAGACTTCTCATGGAAATTTTGCTTGCTAGTGTCAATTACCACACAGCGGCTCCTCGCATCTGGGTCCCATGTTAGGTCCGCTCGCTGCAGAGCGTCCTCGTGAAGGTTCCCATGCTGGTCATCAACTGATGAAAAGCTTCCTGAAGCTAGTTGTTCGCGAAGTAGGTAACTCAACGAAATGTAAAACTCAACCTCTCGTCCTTCACCAAGAACGCTTGTTGCTGATGATGTTCTTGTTGGATGATCTTCGCCTCGCTGTAGGTCTGCGTCTTGACCTTGAGGTGGGTCAAGAAGAGTGAAGAGATCGCAACAAAGATATTCTGCAACTAGGAGCGGCTTGACTTCTATTTCCTCATTGCTATTTGTATCAGATTCTCCTGTCAACTTAGAAGAAGTAGAAGTACTGCAAGATCGACGAGATGTAGATGTAGTTCGTCTCGCATCACCTTTCTCATTTGCCTCTCCTGCTTCTAGAAGTACTTGTACTTGATCTTGTCCTAGAATATCTTGTCCTAGAATATCCTCTGTCCATGGTACCAAAAGCTTGCTCAAGGCTTGTCCACGTGCTCGTGGTCGCGCATCGTCTGATACTGTTCCTGTCCTTGTAGAGGCCCTAGAACTAGTACTACAACTAGAAAAGACTGGCTCATCATCAACATCAGGACTTTTGTTCTTCATCGCATCTCGTACTTCTTCTTTTGTTGACAAAAAGGTAATGCCGCAATCGCTTTGTAAGACGTCGCGGTCATACTCGACACCGAGCGCATGGCAATGCTGTGCTGCTGCACGCACCAGTCTCCCGTCACCGCAGGTCTTAGAAATCAACATCGAAATTATTGCATGATAGGTCTTAGAAGGCAACAACTTCCTCCAACTTATTCCTACATCAACAGCATCACCTTGTCCTTGTGTGCTTCTACGGAGTTGGTTCTCGTTGTCATAGAGAGATAAGTCATAAAAATTAGGAGCCTCTTCAGCCGCGCAGGCGCACATAAACATAATTATATAAATATAAATTTAGCTGCACTCAGTATCCACTAATTCAAGTGCTAGGTTGTAATAGTCAATGCTGAATGATCATAGATGCATTATAAGTACTTATACCTCTTCTGCCTTAATACCCAGATCAACGAAGTAGTCCGTCGCAGACAATCCAAGGAGTTCCAGTACTTCCTCGACAGACTTCGCGTCCGTGGGCAAGTACGGCCCCGCGTTGACCACAACTCGCTCTGGAGACAACATGGAGGATCCGCCCATCTTCGTGGTTTTCTCTACAACAAAGGTTAGGTGAGGTTCCTCAATTCCTGCACAATCTTCGGCCCACCACGAACTAGAACTACTTGTTACATGATGCATCACATACGACGAGTAGTTGAGCAGCAGCGCCATACTAATAGTTGTATCTTCATCTATTATAGCAACAGGACAGGACAGGTGATTGGAGAGCCATCACAATCTCCCAGAGAACACAATACAATGCACTTGAAATTATCCGTTCAAGTTTTTACAATTAGAAATTTTTCGAATCGTTCGACGCACCAGCATGCATGGGCGCAAAGAAAGCATGCATTTCAGTACTACGACGAGGTAATATATGTCGAACACTATAAGTAGTATAAGGCGTCCACCACGATGGCTAAGGAGACAAGTGAGTTGTTCTCTCCTCGTAGTAAAACTGCTCGTAGTGGAACTGCTAAGTTAAAGCCACCGCTTCTTCTCTTCCCATACGAAGAGACAGAGACTACAAAGAGGTACATCAAAATTCAGTGCTTTGGCGTATCAAACCCAAGCCTTGCAGTCCTCAACATCGCACGCATCTCTATCAGAGCTGCCAGAGTAGACTGGTGCTACTTCTTGCACGGCCTTCCACCTCCAGATGACATGAAAAGTGCTGGGTGAATTTCCATACATGAATAAAGAGTCTTGATTCATGATAGCAACTGCTTCGAAAAAAGTGGTCGTCACTGCGCACGCGCAGTTCATGTGGTTTAGTATCCACCATGCACGAAGTAAAATAGACAATGTTAGCCTAAAGTTCAAGTTGATCAATATGAGTAAATCTATCAGGATGCAGTTGAAGAACTAAACAACTTCTATTTGGATACGCGAGGTGGGCACAGCATGGCCCGCCATACATCATAGATACGTTGGTTTGTTTCGTAAGCATAAGCAATACATTTACATAGGTAACAAAAAAAGTGAAAATCAGTAAGCATCAACTGGATTCATTTTCATGTTCATCAGACTCAAGGAATAAACCTACTACAACAAGCATCAAGATAGAGAACTTACAACTCAGTTGTTGCTACGGTTCTAGCTTGTTTCAGTTGATACAGTTTTAATTTCAGTTGCTACAGTTTTAACTTCAGTTGCTACAGTTTTAACTCAGCTTTAACTTGTTCAGTTGCTACAGTTTTAATTTCAGTTACTACAGTTTCAGTTTCAGTTGCTACAGTTTCAGTTCTTGATACAGTTTTAATTTCAGTTGCTACAGCTACAGCAGATCAAAATTCAAATTACTTGGAAAATACTTTACCCGCGTTAGAGAAATCGGGACCTTGTGGGCCTTGTACTACTTCCAGATCACCCCCCCAGCCACGGCGGATTTTTCGGGCCCCTTGCGTTTTGCATTCCCCAGTCCGAGTACTCCCGTTTTCTGTTTCATATTGCCACGGAACAGAAGCTTTGCGGGTAAATTTGATTAGAATTGTTAATGAAGATACTGAACATTCACTTACAACACTTCGGTCCTCGTTATATAATCGCCTAGTTTGTTTACTACTTGAAGGAGAAGAAAAGGTGCGACAGTCTATTTTATTAGTCGGAATATCAATATGTCCAACATTGAAAAATCATGAAACTGAAAGATGCCGCTCATCTCCGAAGTATCTGTTTTGACGAGAATTTTCAGCTTCTTAGTTTTTAGTTCTTAGTGATGCCAGTCTACTGCTAGTGCTACACGTACAATGCCGTATCATCTATTGGTAACATTATCTACTATAATGTATACTCTATCAAAATCAAAAACGATGTACTTATAAACGCCTTCGTTTCTGCCGTGGATTCATTGCCACACTTACTCAAAACTCAAAAGAGTAGAAGTACGGATCAGGAGCAGTACTGATCAGTACTCCCACTCTTTTAGGTACAGACAGATCTCTGTGCAACTAGTTGTACTCTTGCTGTACTACAACTGGCAATCACGAATATCGCGAAGCGAGTATCAGTTTTCGTTTTCCTTCTTGTTGCATTCTAATACTTAGTGTAGTATTTTTGCCATAACTTTTGTTGCCGTGTCTCCCTGTGTCGAATTTCCCGAGGTCAAAGAAGTTTGGACTGTAGATGCTGGATGCGTCAAACCGGTCGTTTCGGTTGTGCTTAGACCGGTCCCTAGTTTGATTGATTGATACCTGTTCACGAGGTATAGGGGCTACCAAGGAGAGGGGGGGCCCCTCATGGGGACGGGGGGGTCCCTCAAGCGAGATCATAAGCACCAGCCTTCGCCTTGTATGGGGATGCATACTGTTGCGGGATCTCTACAGCGATGGATGTCATGTCATGTCACCTCGCATCCCATTACCTGGATTAGGAGAGCCTTAATATACACATCCGTGCGGTGACGCAAAGCGCTATGGCCCAACGCACGTTCACGATTAAGAATACCAACAGCTTGCGCTTCAGTTCCAACATTAGAAGAGTCTGAGTCTAGGTGGATCTTAATAGTCTTGTTCAGTGGTAAAGATAGTCATGGTGACAGTAAATGGTAATACCATTTATGGTATATCAACTTGTTATTAACTTTAAGTTTCAGAACTGTGATCTTGCTCAGCAGCGCCTCTTAATCTACTTTGTTGAAGATGAAGACCGCATCAGGATCAGAAAAAACATCTACTTATTTCCCGTTCAAAACAAGTTGAAGTTCTTGTACTTTCTTACAGGAGGTCTTCAAAGTAGAAGCAAGCAGGCCTCTCCATGAGGACCACCAGATAACTAAGTACATTGATTGGAGGCACTAACCCTAACAACTACGGCACGTTCTGGTGTGACACCCGGATGCTTGTCGCCAGTGAATTTCCCACTTGGGTTCAGCGTCACCTGTTGGATGATCGTACGTCGCCCATGGCGGTCGCAAAAATCTTAGATCATGATGAAGAACGTCTGGAAGTCGTTTCTTTGAATTATTATTTAAATTTCATATCACACTATGGTCGTATAGAGGTACTGGTACGTAGTACAGACAGCAAAGTGGAGTCGTTGATCTTTCTCTTTGCAGATCGAGAAGTAGTAGTAGTTTGCGATTGTGCTAACGGTAGCATGTGCTCGGATGCAGCCGTAGACTGCATTTGTTTCTGTACACTTCTATTTTCTCCTCTTTCTTTTGCATTTGAATAAATATTGCCTTTTTTAGTAGAGTCGAGTATCTTCGTCTTCCTCTACTAGAGTAGACTGCTTGTGTAGTGCCTCTAGCTCTACTAGAGTATATTATCAAAATTGCTTATTGAAGTTGCATTTCTGTGTATTATTTCCTCTACTAGACTCTAGTATCTTTGTTTTCCAAGAAGCATTGAAAAATTTTCCGTAAAGCATCTCTGGAGGAGGCGCTTGGGGAATGCGCGGCTTAGGACGGATCAGGGTCGCCATGGCATCTGTTTGCATCTTTTTTCCGTTGACTAGGACTTTGTGCAATGACGTTACCCCTCTCTTCACATCATGCTGAAAGTGCTCTTATTAGATGGGGTGGTCATCATGGTGTTGTAAAAGTAAAACGCATCAAAATCAAAGAAAGAGTATGAATTTAAGACAGCGCCGCCTGATCTTCACCCGTATACAAGGGACCCGAATGATGCATGCTTATGATGATGATCAACAAACATATGAAGTGGTTGATGTGACAACGTAGTCAAGAATGTCAAACTTCTTCTATGTAACTGAGTACTATGTTCTCGAAAAATATTCAATGTTCATGAATCATTCTTGTCAACAACTACAATCATTGTTGTACACGTCACGGTCCATAATCTTCCTCTCCTTCGTTTAAATTGGCAATATCCTTGCTCGATCTTGCCGGTAGCCAATGGTAATAGTGAGCGCGGTGATCAGCAATGCGATCTGCTTTGGAAAGGTGGTGACCGAAACCAGAACTCTTGCTATCCAAACGCACATCGTCCTGGTTCCCATACGCGCTATGGGCACCCTGGAAGTGGTTCGAAGAAGATATTAATGATGAGCATACCATCGGCGACTCAATCTTTTAATACATCATGATCTAGTGCCACTCTAATTCAACGGCAACCAGGCAACCAGCACTTCTTCTACTAACCTCATCTATCATTGCCTACGAATCATCGCAATTTATTCTAAACTTTTTTTGGTTTTACCGCTACAACCAAGTAAAAGAAACGAGAACGATATTCACAACTAAATCGACATACTAGGGTACCTGAGACGAGTGCTTCGATCCTATTCCTGTGGCTGTGGGATTGCGCGTGGTGCTCATTAGCACAGAAGGAAGGCACATGCGTTTGAGATTCTCTTTTTAGAGCTACCGCCTTGGCAGCCGTGAGCGCATCCTTGGCCCCCTTTTCAAGGTAGAAAAGGAGCGGCCAAGGATGACGCTGAGGATGGTTGAGCAGTAGCCTTATTCTTTGCGTCCACACAGACGCGGATAAACTTCCGGTCGCTTCAACAAGTCTTCCGGTCCGTCGTATCCTTCATCCCCATCATCAATAAAGCCAATTGATTCACCTTCGAAAATATGAAGGTGGAAGAGGATGAGAAAGAAGGCAACAAACGGGCACTTGTCGTGACTAAGGAAGGACGAGGATCAATAATGTCGACCAATGACCACGACTAAGAGTTGTAAGACTAGTAATACGTATAGTTGTACGACAAAAAAATATTTACTTATAATATTAAATATTCGATGAAAAAAGGATTTTTACGTCGAGTAGGAATTCCTTATGAAGATAATATGGGGTCTTCATTTACTACTCAAGAGATCTTCAATATTCAACTAGTAGATCATCCGGATCCAATAGATTTTGCATTTTGCACCTCCTGAAGTACACGTCTACGAGTTCAAAAGATTTTTATCCTCCAGTTGAAGTAAATTCGCATTTTTCATAAGGCCTTTGGTGACCGTTGTTTTCTTCCCCATTGCGCGGAGACGGACTGAACCGAAAATTTTCTGGCGGATATCCTTGGTACTCGAAATAATTCTTGACCAGTTCCCGACGGTCCTCTGGTGATGGTGGTTCTTTGGGTTTCTCCTCGTCTTCGTCGCCAGAGTCAGAACCTGTCGACTCCTCGTCATGGCCGGACTCCTCTGTGCCGCCTACTTTAGAAGTAGATTTCTACTTCTACAGGAAA